AAAAAAAAAAAAAAAAAAAAATTATAGTCTTAAAATATTTTGCAGCCCAAGTGAGGTCGTCATTAGTGTGGTAAAAACTAGTTTCACTTTTTGCCTTTTCTTATACTGACTGCTTCCTGGGTTTCTTTCAGGATAAAAGTGCTTAAGGTTATACGCATCTGTATGTTTCATAAACGTACAGCTAATTTCTGGAAAAAGCTTGTATAAGTGTGAAGGTGACTCTCCAAGTATTTAAATTTTAGTATTGCGAAATATTTTAAAATACATTGTGCAAAAAAGAGCTACAGAATAGTCTGTCTTAATAGAAATACAGGAGATTCATTGAAAATATATATGAATTGGGGCTGGGGATTTAGCTCAGCGGCACAGCACCTGCCTGGCAAGCGCAAGGTCCTGAGTTCGATTCCTGGTACCAAAAAAAAAAAAAGAAAGAAAATATATATGAACTTACTGTGAATGAGATAACAAAGGTTCCTTGAGCGCCATAGTATTTGTTTTCTTATATGAAAAATGTGGCGAGGATGACAGTGGCACACGATGAGTGCTCAGGAAGCGAAAACTGCTGTGGCTGCGGTTACCGTTATTATTATTATTATTACTGTCGTTATTTAGAGAGATTTTGAAATTAGCACGAGTCATACCTTCTTTCACTAATACCCTGTGCTTATCCTTTTCCTTTCCAGGTTCTTGGTCGGATATAAGAACCTCGTATACTTACCCACAGTCTTCCTACTAAGTTCCGTGTTTTGGATATTTATGACTTGGTTCATACTGTTTTTTCCTGATATCCTTTAACCTGAGCTTAGGCGCATATTACCTTTGAAAAATTACCTTTTTTAAAATGCCATTTGGTTTTTAGATAATAGGAAAGATCTAAGGAATGCAACTTACATTTGCATCCATTTAGTGATTTTGGTTGAATGTTTAATGTTGAAAATCTGTTTGATTCTGGAAGTAATGTCAGCATACTATGGAAACAGTAGGTATCTAGTATTTACCTCTAATAAGACAAAAACAGTAAAATGAATCATTATTTTACTTGGGCCCATAATAATATGTTGGATTGCTTAGAGATGTCTTCACACAGTTCTTTTGACTACATCAGCAGTTACAGGTGATTGGTAGAGCTTTTGGTTTCCAAGATGTTGCTGTACTGGAGGGCTAGTTGGGGAAATGCTTCCTCTGTAATGGTAAGCAGCAATTCTAGCTGTTATCTCAGGCCGTGATACCCAGTCCACAGCAAGAATAAATTTGCTTTGCCACTCACAATATATGTGAAACAGGGGCTGGGGGTTTAGCTCAGTGGTGCTGCGCCTGCCTGGCTGGCATGAGGTCCTGAATTTGATTCCTGGCCTCCCCCACAAAAAAGAATATATATATGAAACAAAGCTTCAGAAGTCAGTACACCCACTGTGTTCTTTTCCTTATATTATCTGGTTTCCTTTTTAAAAAATTCTTTTGTGACATAATGAGTAACAGCCAATGGTTTAAAAGAAAAACACAAAATTCCTCCTATCTAAGGACTAGGTTTATCACTTGAGGATCAGGGGCCAAGTGTAAGACACTCAAAGCTGTGTGTTCTTAATGTTGGCCAAGTCCAGTAACCTGGAATTGGAGAAGGTGGTTACTCCTGGATTACTTACTTTTAACTTCAGTCTCTCTACTCCTTCCAGATTCCTTTCTTGCCTTCCAAGGACCCTGCCTCAGAAGTCATTGTTACCTTGCTTGGCTTGCAGATTAGGGAAAGGAGTATGGTAGACAGAAAGCCCCTTGTAGCTTATTCCTTTAATGCCTATGCTACTTCTGTTTCTGGTGATGACTTCTCCCAGTGTCGATTGAAGAGATGAATAAACTCAAAGAATATTTTTCCATAGGAATAAATGTGAAGTGAGATAGACACAAATTTTTAGAAGGCAGAACACCTCTACATCCATTATAGTATGCTTTTGCTATAATGTTGCTTTTTATTTCTGAGCATTATCTATAATGTTTTTCACATTCCTATAGTGTAGCCTACCAGGGAGGTCATTAAGCTTTTTTGCAAATGATTTTATTACCTCTAACCTTTGTCTCATAATGACTGGTTTACTGGCAGCTTGGTAAACACTGGACTTCTCAACACTCAGTAAAGGCTTGGATGGTATTAGACATAAAATGAATGTGTAAGGAGCCAGGAGTGAGGAGTTTATTTTGGCTCGCATTTTTAGTTCAGAGTTGGCTGGCTCCAAGGCAGGAAGGCATGGTGGACAGGCTTGGACAGAGGAAATCCTCATGGTGGCCAGGGAGCAGAGAGCAAAGGGAACCAACGAGGGGGACAGTGTCTTCCAGGTCACACCCCCAGTGACCCGCCTCCCCCCACCAGACCCCACCTCTTCATATCACATTTAGCTGTAAGACCCCCATGATTTAATCACCTTTCAGTAGCCCCGCCTGTGAGTTCATGAGGCTTTGCAGGGACATCTCACTATAAATTATAATACCAACCCATGTGGCAGTGGAGTGAACAGTTTTTTTAAAATTCTGTTTATGATGAATTTTTAAAATTTGAGCAACTTAGATTATTTCAGATTTTGCACAAGAAGTGAGATCGTCTTCATAGTGAATTGGTTCTGTTTAACAAAATTAACCAAAATGTTACTCCACTGTAGTCTGAAAACTTCCTTGAGTGTAACTAGAAACAGCCCGGGCTTTGTGAAGGTGCTGTTCTGTCATAAAACTACTTACCAGAGCTGGATAGAACTTGAAGGTTCTGTTGGAATTGACAGTTTGCTTCAACAACTTAGCGCCATTTGAGATCCCTGCTGCCAAGGACATGTGAGTCAGTAGGTGGCACCCTGCACCACTGCATCAGCGTTTCTTGAGCTGAACGGTAACTGCTGTTGGAACTGCCTGGGTGAACCGAGGTGCTGCCCTGTCCTGTGTATCCTAAGTATCTGGCTGGACCTTTCCCCAGATTGTCAAGTCAGGGTTGAATGGGGGCTGGCGATCCCGCAGCCTCTGATCTGTTGTGGGAAGAGTCTGAGTCACCTGGACAGCACGTGGTCTTTGGAATAACAAAACAGCTCTGCATCGTGACCTTTTTATTCAGTAGTTCTGTACCCTTGCGCAAGTTCCTTCATTTCCCTGAATCTGTTTTCCCGTAAGTGGGGGATAACAGTACCAAGCTCACGGAGTGGCTGCAAGCATTATTGTGCTCTGCTGTCTCTAAAGGGCTGGCAGCAATCCCCATGACATAGTTGGCAATGTATAGTTAATATTTAATATTCATAGTTACTGCTATGAATGAAATCCGTGGAAGGCTACAGGTTGAAACTAATTTTAAGGACAGCTCTAGATTGGTTCCTAGAATGATGAATTTCTTTCGGTGCCTTTTATATATTCAACAAGCGGTGTACTTGGCTTTCACAAGGGGGATTGAATGAAAGAGAGTAGGACCTTACTGATACATGTGAAGGTATGATTAAAACTCAGGAAAGAAAAGGTGAATCAATGAATGTTACATTTATGGTACAAGCTGCAGCTAACTGCCTTCAGTTTAAGATGGATAAACATGTGTAGAGTCCCGTGCTTGATTTCAGAGGATCAGCCATACGAGTGTGTACTGCAGGGAAGCACAGTATAGCTTCAGGTTAATTGCACAAAACATGAGGAACTTTTACTGAATTCCCAGTGTGGCTGGTGACTCAGCTGGAAACCAGGGAGTTGTCAAATAGTTTTATAAGCATCCAAGGCTCCAAGCAAAGAACAATAACAGTCTCACTGTCCTCTGCACTGGTCAGTGCACATCATGTATTTACCGCCTCGCAGTCTGCTCTTGTGGAGGTAATGATGAATGGGAGCGTGCACAGAGGAACACGATCGTAAAGTGTTGTGTGAGAAACAGTGTTGCTGTCATCCAGGAGATCTGCTCACTGCCTTCCAATTGCAAGTGTTTGGAAATCTATTGTTTGGAAGCCAGTGCACTTGTGGAATGGGCATGCAATAAAAATGTTATTTAACAAAAATGTAAAGCTTATGTAGGGTGGACTCAGAAGATAGTTGCAGTGCACATCTAAAGGATCCAGCGAATGAAAACCATTGGTCAGTTCTAGAAGGGCAACATTTAGATTCATATTGAGAGACATTTTAATGGCAAGAAAAACAGCTTACAGGAGACTGACACCTCTACATATAAGTGTAGTCTAAGGTCTAAGTCCCATAGAAATCATTGCCAGCTTCAAGAGAGGGAGAGGATCCTCTCCGGAGAATCAGGAAGGACTAGAGAGGGAGAAAGAGGTTAATTGGTGAAGGCCTTTGGGACTTGGACAAGCTAAAGGTGTGGCTGTAGGACTGAGAGGAAGTGGAGGGCATCTGTGTCAGTGGACCAGCTAAGCAAGGGCAGAAAACAAGGAGTGGGTTTGCGTTTTATGCGGCAGAGTAAAGTTTACTTGAGTTGCAGGGGGTGGTGATCTCCTGGGATTTGTTTTATAAATTATTCTCTCAGGAACCCCAAATTCAGTGAGCTTGCTAGGCAGGATCACATGTATTTTTGAGAAGATGTCACATGCACCGATCAGAACTTTATGGAAGTAAAATGACATGTGATTGTTTTAACAAAAGATCTTACCCTGTGTACCCTTTAATAGTGTTCTTCTTATTCACTCTAAACTTCGTTAAAATTCAACATCATGCAACATGTCTGGCCCCTATGTGTTTTGTAAAGCTGAGCCCACATCAGGTGAACTAGGATAAATTTAAGCCACCAAGATCGGATGCTCCCATCTTAACAGCTGGAGCTGTGTTCATCTTTGTAAGGTAAAGCAGGACTTTGCAAACTTGTAGATGTACCCCACCACTGACCCCTGGGATCTTAAAATCCGTAGTCTAGTTCTACAGGTCTGGGATGAGGCCTGAAGTTCAGCTTCTCTAATAAGCTATCATTGCAGGTCTGTGGACCACGCTTCGAATTGTAAGGCATTGAAGTCTATTTGATGGCTTCTTTTCCCACTCTGCAGTTGGACAGTGCCTTTTGAGGAAGATACAGTTACTGTGTCAGTTATCATTTAAATTGGGCAAAGACTGTTGGTTTACCACTGGTTTATTGTTTTGTTTTTTTTTTTAAGCTGCGCTCTTGCTGTCCTTACCTGAAGCAGAATTTTACTTTTTATACAAAGAATTCTTACCACTTTAAAAATACATCATCAAAGCAGGGTAACATTTATTCTTGAAACACTTTTTATCTTAACGTATCCATGTCTGTTTTTCCCACAGAGAAAATGCTTTGTAATCATTTTCCAAGGAAAGCGGTTTCTTAAATTAACTCAGCCTAAAACAATTACAAGAATTATTGAACTTACCAATTATTGAACTTACTCAGGAAATTTTGGCGAGCATTTCTCTACTCTATAGGGAGATGTTTTTGTTCAGATCTGAACCAAGTAGTCTGTTTTTTTGAATGATTTTGTTAAAATAATCAGAGAATATTTTCCGGGATCCTCACAAAAAGAGCCACAGCTACTCCATTCAGAGTACATTTATTTTGTTGAATGCTTTTCAGTCTTTAGGATGTTCTTCATAAATCACAACCATTAACATTTAATGTGAGTGCCAACTAATAAGAAAGCATTATTTTTCAGTCAACTAGGAGCAAATTCCCAAAGGATCAAAACGTAGGACGGGGCCTCTTCTGTCGGGGGCTTCGTACACAAACGGCTGTGTACACAAAGAAGTTGGGGCAGAATGCTGAGAAGAGAGCTTGGTGGGCACCAGGGAGGAAGGGTGCTCATGTCCTGCCTGCGTCCTTCTTAGCGGAAGTTTGACATAGTCCTTAACCCGCTTTCACATGTCACAAGCAGCCGTACGTATTTCATTTTCCTTTCCAGTCTAGTAGCCTTCCTCTACTTCTTCTACAAGACTTGGGCGACTGATCCCGGCTTCACTAAGGCTTCTGAAGAAGAAAGGAAAGTGGTGAGTTTCTTGGGTAATGTTTTTTGTTTGGGTTTTGATATATTTTAAAATCAGGGTATGTACATTTCAGAGAGTCATAGCCATGTGGGCTTTTGTCATGGCCACCTCTCTTGGGCAGGCCATTGCAACTGCAAGGTGAACTGAGATTTCTGCAGTTATTCTTTCATTTATTTATTTATATTCTTTTTCATATTTTTATTTTCTATAGAGTAATTGCCCCACTAAGACTTAGATTTGACTTTGTTATCAATCCCTCCTTGTAATAATATTTAGATAAGAGTGTTTAGCTCAAATTCCCCCACTTAGTACATGGAGGACAGCTAGGGAGGAGCAAGGGGATTCCTTCTCCCTAATGACTGAGGAGATACTTCTCTTCAAATGCAAAGTTGTCAGATGATGTGGCACACTCTCCATTTGTTCATGAATGCTTAGAAACCGGAGAGTGTGGTCTTTTGTTACCTAAAGCCAGTGTTCCAAAAAGGCTTGGCCCTTGGCCCTTGGAACTTGTAACCAAAGGTTTTGATGGATACCGGTGATTTTTTTCTCTTTTCAATGAGCATATATATGCACATACTTATTTTTCTTAGTGGATAGTAATTGGGAGATGTTTTCCATTCATTAGGAAAAGGCAATGAAGGAGGTGCTGCAGAATATAGTTTTTATGCAGTCTGCTTTATTGGCTATTGACTGAAAATGCATCCTTGAAAAGTCACATTATTTCAAGCACAGAATGATTTGGTGGCAAGTACTCCAAATTGCTTTCCTAGCTACTTAAGTTAGGAGTGAGAGCTCTGAGGAAAGTATATAAGCATGCATAATCCATTTCCCAATAAAATGCAATCATAAGGTCAGACTTCATGTCTTTCAGAATATCGTCACCCTTGCAGAAACTGGCTGTCTGGACTTCAGAACATTTTGTACATCATGTCTTGTGAGTATTTGCTGTGTAATTTTTTTGTTTTTCATAGGAAAAGCATATTCTTGATAACATCGCTGGTGTAAGCGTTTGTCAGATCTTCATGGTATATTTGTTTCAACCAATTCTAATTTCTTATTACTGTCAGAACAATTTCCTGCCTTGAACATATGGGAGAATATTAATAATCTTATGAAGTTGCCTATGGTAAAATCTGTATGAATTATCCACAGTGTGTTTTGTGTGCTTTGCTCTGCCGTGAAGCATATCTTAGAGCTGCCTTCAAGTCAAAGGCTTAATGACCTAGAAACCGCTTAGTGAAACCTCTCATTTGGTAATTGAGGGATCAGGGGCTAAAAGGAGGAGAAACATTTTCCCAGTTTATTGTAGGAGCCAAAAATGGAACTTGGGCTTCGTTTTTCTTAGCCCAGTGCTCACTCTGCTTCATGGTACTGCCTCAGTTCCCCTTAGCCAGTAGGGGGATAGGCTCTGAAATTCAAATCCCCCTTACTGGTGGATTAGAGCACATATGCAGAGTGAATTCTAGAGAGATATTTCAGAGCTTCTGTGTATTTAGGATTATGTGTGCTCATGTCTGTACTGCATAGCATTACAATCTTGCTTAGGATTTGTTGCTTTGAGACACTGTGATTGGCTTAGCTCTCTTAATTGTCCCCTTAGATTAGAAAACCACTGAGGTCGCTCCACTGCCATGTGTGCAACGCTTGCGTGGCTCGATATGATCAGCACTGCGTGTGGACTGGACGGTGCGTAGGTGAGAAATTTGATTTTTCAGTCACCGCTCTGAAGCGCAGCATATGTTTAGTTATGTGTGACTCATAGAAATAGGAAGGGCATCCAAGAGCTCCATTTGTACCACTCCTTGTCTGAGAATTATCTGTCTGGTGTAAGACTTTCGGAAAACTGTTGAAGTTGCTGATGACAATTTTTGTCATTTGTGTAGTAGTCGTTTAGACTTTACAGTACAGTGTCCAACCTGATCATCAGAGCACACCTGTGAGGTTGCTGTTACTAGCTGCACTGGAAGAGCTGCACAGGTGTAAAAGATTGCACTGTTTGCTTACGGTCACGGTACCGGTGTCCGTCTTCCTCTGCACATGTGCTCTTTCCGTACATCATGACCTGTCTGTGGTGTCTATCTTTTCCACTTGCTTCCCTCAAGCTCAAGTAGGAGGTGGACGCGGAGCTGCAGAGATGTGGGAATTGCCCTCCCACCAGGGATATTCCTTTTGTTGACCTGCAACTCTGAGTTTCCTCTAACCCATCACAGTACAAGCCGGAGGTTTGGTGGGCGGGACTTCAGAGGAGCTGTGGTCGTGTCTAGACAGGATACAACTCCGCAGTCCTCACTGACAAGGAGGCTGCCTTACTTAGCTCAGGTAGGTCTCTCTGGTACATTTTGACATCCCTTTCTCTTCCTAGAGAAAGGCGGCTGGGTGCCTCCTGCAATCCCAAGCTTTTTGGACCCCATCCCACCATGATGGTTAGATGACTGGCATCCTGCAAGGCATTGAATGGCGGGAAAACAGCAGCAATGAGCCCATTCATTTTTCTCACACTGCACTTAACAGTGTCATCATGTACATTGTCCTGTTTGGTTGCTACAGGGCTGTGAAGCAGAAGAGATACATTATAAGTAACAGTGATACTCAGAGAAAGTAAACGTCTTAACCTACAGTGACACAGCTAATAACCCGTAATAAGCCGAATAATCTATAATAAACCCGTGTCCCTTAACTCTGCTGGGTATTGCTCCTTCTGTTGGAGAAGATGGAACAGTGATGTGGTCCCTGAAGAGCCCTTGTCCTTAGCAATGAAACGCTTCCAGCTCCACCATGCAGAAGGCCAAAGGCAGCGCGTGTGAGAAAGGGCTTGGTTGCCTGAGCCTTTCTTCACATCTGCAGACTTTTTGCCTGCCATAGACTTCTCCCCTCTACTATGCCCAGCTTCCTGCATTTGTATTTGTGTGTGTGTGTGTGTGTGTGTGCGCGCGCACGCGCGTGTGTGCGAGCGTATGTGTTGTGTGTTGCCGCTGCTTGAATGTGTCCCCTCTGTTCCTGTGATCAAGTCCATCCTTGATGTCCAGAGGTTGTATTCACACGGGTTTTCTATGAGGAAGAGAAACAGCGTGACTCATCCTTGCTTCTGGCTTCCCCTCCCTCCGCTGTGCCATCCAGCCCGCAGCTGTGTTTGCTTAGTTAACTTTTCTCTATTCAGACAAACTATCCTCTTTTAGTAAGTAGGGAATAAATATTAGTTAACATGGCTAATTGCCTGTGGCATATCAAAAATGTTTGATTTGGGTTTAATATAATTTAAAGGCAGAGCAACAGCCTTATTTCTGTTCTACTTTGGTGAATGCTTTTGACAGGAAAGTGGTTAATAAGCCGTTATCTGGAAAGGCATTATAAGAAAAAGAAAGTATAAGTATGTTTTCTTTCCTTTTGGTTTAGGTTTTGGGAACCATCACTATTACATATTCTTCCTGTTTTTCCTGTCGGTGGCGTGTGGCTGGATTATGTATGGGTCTTCCATCTGTAAGTATGGATTTTTCTTGCAAGCTTATGCACCCACACCTAATTCTACTTTTCTTTGTAAGCCCCTCCCATTCTGACCAGGCAGCTATAAACCATACCCCTAGTAAAAACAAGATGATGTACTAAGATTCCCTCAACAATGGGTAGCTTCAAGAAATGCTAGAAGAAAGAAAAAGAAATATTAGAAGAGATTCTTAGTACTTCTGAAGAGAACCTTGATAAATTTGAAGAGTAGTCCAAAAAAGAAATTCATTTAAGACAAGTATAGATTTGTCCCCCAGTGAAGAGCAAAAGCCAACTACTCGAGTTAAAACCAGAGAGAATAAGTAATTAAAACAAAAGAAAGGTCGATGGTGGAGAGGTTGATGGATGGAGGTCGCAGTAAATCAAGGAACAAAGCTCTGAAAGCACATTCCACTTGATAAGTATCAAGTTGAAACTGAGAACTAATGGGAAAACTGACAGTTGAAAGGTTGGAAATAATAACGGGAGAAAACATTAGATCACTTACCCTGTAGCCTTGAAAGAGAAAAGAACTTTCACTAGCAATTTAAAAAGTACCTAGTGTGTCAGTAGGGAGTGATAGCCGGCTGCACCAAGGTGATCTGCTAAGGACAGGGTTTAAAGTGAGGTGAGGATTTTGGTTAGCTCTTACGAATTGCACAATGAGGCCAGGGATGTAGCTTAGGAGCATAGCGCCTGCCTGGCAAGTGTGAGGTCCTGAGTTTGATTCCCAATACACACACACACACACACACACACACACACACACGTGCACAGAATTGCATGATGACATCTCTCAGACCTTGGAATAGGTTGCCTAAGTGGAAGAACTTGCAGTGCTAGTAGTTTATTTATTTCTCTGGACTTTAACTGTTTATCCTTTATTTATTCTGAAGGATTGGAGAAATTTAGATGCAGTCTCCACTTGTAATCTGTTTCCATTAACCCTTCTGTTACGTTACCAGGAGAGTTCTAACTTGCTGCCTAAACTGAACTCTACAGGAAGACAATTACAGAAGACTTTTCCCTATATTTTTTTCCTCCAGGCAATCCAATCTCCAGCACTCTTCAGTTCTCAGGCTCTTCCCCTCTCCCTGCTCCGCGCACTCACACCCCAGCTTTCTCTAGTTTAAATATAATTTTTAGAAGAGAATTCATTCTATGCTTGTCCCCAGCCTCCTGGAAATAACCAGGGTCGCAAATTTCATTTTGCTTGAAGTTTCATGGATAGGTTTTAGTATCTGTGAAACGGGTTGCTTTTTGCCCTGAAATAGGCATACTGAAGACATTGTTGGGTGTCTGAGCTCTCAGAAACACTTTGTAGCTAAATGTGTCCATCACAATCTGACATAGGTCTAATAGTCAGAAGGTTAGATTCCTGAGCTCAGGTGTTGTCCAAGGCCACCAGGAACCCTAAATACTAGAAATTTTAAATCTTAGGTTAAATCTCACAGCATAAGACATAAAAGATTTTTGGCTTTGCTTCTGAGAAAGCTGCCCTTTTAAGGCCTGACAATGTAGCATATTCTTAGAAAACCTTTCAGAGTTGGCCCGTGGACCAGTCTGTCTCTTGAACTTGATCCTAGGGGAAAGGAGCCAGATTTTACACCACTCTTGTCTCTCCTCTTCCCTCTCCTCCCTAAAAATAGTCTCTCCGGTTTGGTGTCTCTTTCCATCATAAGACTGCTGATAAGAGCAGCTGCAATCTCCCGTCACATTTGGCCTTTCCAAGCTCATTTTTAATGTTACACTGATTCTTTCCTCTTCTCTGTCTTTGAACCAGTTTTCCTACTATATTGTGTTTTTGAAGAACAGTCCCACCTTACCCTCACTTACAGCTCTTTATTCCAGCTCAATATTCTTTATTTATATTCTACAACTTTTTTTTTGGCAAAAAAGAAATTGGCATCCTGTTATCTGTCACTGTGTCACAGACAGGAAGTGTGAACATGTGTGCCATTTCTCTAACAAGGCCTCACAGCGTTCCTTCGCCTCGGTTTACCTTTGACACCCTTACCAGAGTTCTGCTCTCCACCCTCCTCCTCGCTGATCCAACAGCAGCTACTTCTGGCGCTTGATCCATTTCCTCCCTGGTGCGGCCTGTTTGCATGGTGGACAGCAAGCGAATCAGAAAGTGCCAGCATCCTACAAAGCACAGGGAGAGAGGTATTAGATCAGTGTCAGGAAGAACTGTGTAACTGGCAGAGCAGTTACAGGCAAAAGATGAGAACAGTTGTCTCGACTTGGAACATTAACGATTGAATACCTGATAACAATGTATTAGACAAAGTAAAGTATTATACTGCAAAAGGTATTGTGGGTAGCCAGTGCAGTCATGTCTTTGGTACAGAATCTGAAATCTCTGTTTCAGGCTAAACTTCAGTATCAGCTCATGTTGTGTGATCAAAAGAATCCCCAGAAGGGAGCAGTAGAAATCCATAAACTGGAAGAAACTAAATTCTCTTTCCCACTCTACTGCTGTTTTCTCCACCTGCTGTTAGAAATGATGTTCCTTTTTCGTGGTATCATGTGCGTTGGACGCGTCTTCCTTTGCTGTCTTAATGAGGGTCTGATTTGCCTTCACTGGTGACCTTGATTGTTACTGTGTGGTGATTGTTCATAGAATGGCTCTGGCATACATTCATGGGTCAAGTGAGACTCACAAGAAGAAACACAAAATAGGTATTTAGGACTCAGATGGACAGATAGTTGGCAGTAGTCATGGACTTATTTTCCTGTCCCAGAACCTCTGTGGTGCTGCTTTAGGAGAATGTCTGAAACTACTAGTCGGATTGTCAGATAAGCTTTGTGAAACCTCAAGGTGCAAATCTCCAGAGTTCTCGTTTCAGAGGTAGTTCCCTATAGGTACATTTATCCTGCATCTAAAAGTCATAACGTGGAAGATCTGTTCCCGTGTTTCTGCTGCTTCCTACCTGCCGCTCCAGGCTGCATGGGTTCGTGGGTCAGCATCATGAACCGTAGAGAAGACCTCTCCTTTAATTGGCATCTGGTGCTGTCAGAGAGAAGCTGAGCTGGGACCATATAAATCTTGCTGGATTTATATTCTTTTCTTGGATGTGTCTGTCTCCAGAAGTCCCCTCCCCTGGCCTTTTTTCCCCTGCGGGTTAGTTATGGAGCCAGTGCCGAGGTGCACCCACGCCTGGCCCCCGTCATGCTGCCGGGCTGTGTTCTAAAGGTATCCTGGCACTTGTGAGATGTCTTGTGCCCACAGCAATCACCTGTGCATCTGAACCTTTAATAAAAGTTTATATTCAGTCCTGTAGTGGATCTATAACTTGATGTAATATGAACAAGGTAGATAATTTTCTAAGACAGATATTTCATTAAATATAGTCATTCTCATAGGAAGAAAATGCTCAACAGGGAAGGGAAACTGGGGGAGGAAGGGAAAAGAAAAAAAAAGAGAAGAAGGAAAAAATGGAATCAAAGCTGTTATAAACAAGGTGAGGAAGAGGCGTTGAAGGGAGGGGATGGGGGGAGAAAAGAATGCAGATAAGTCGTGTATAGGTACAAAGTCTGTATGTTGAAAGTGATCACTGTGCATATTTACAATGTACCAATAAACTTAATAAATGCTTAAATAAATAAAATCACCCTCAATTGCCAAGGCCTTCCATTCTGGCCGGTGCATTTTATGCAGGATGTGCTGGTTCTAGTGAACATTGTATGGTTTTCTGCTTCTGTTCCTGCCCTGTCAGCTGCTGATGTGTCGCCGTGCCCTCCCGGACACCGAGGCACCAGAGTCTCGTATTTGTGATTGAGCTGCATGTGGAAAATACACCCCGAAAGCTGAATCCTGCTTTAGGTTTTTGTTTTGGTTTTTGTCTTTGTGGCACGGGACTGAACCCAGGGCCGCACCGATGCGCTGAGCACAGTCCCGCCGCTGACTGGTTCCTCCAGCCCCACGTTGAGCTCCGATGTGTGCCGCCTTGTTTTCCTTTCTTCCTCCCTAATAAATTTGGAGAAGGGTCCCTAGTTTATTGCCATTTTTAATAACACTTTTCTTTTCTGTACATTCACAGATTGGTCAAATCATTGTACCACAACATTCAAGAAAGACGGACTGTGGACCTACCTCAGTCAGATTGTGGCCTGTTCCCCTTGGGTTTTATATATCTTCATGATAGCAACTTTTCATTTCTCATGGTCAACATTTTTATTAATGAATCAGCTCTTTCAGGTATGTATTTCTCATAAGACCTTTGAGGAAAATTCCCAGCAACCTGTCGTTAAAAATCAGAAGACTTAGATTCTGGTTGCACCTCTGTTGGTTCCTCTGTAAGTGCAGGTGCATCACTCTACCACTCCTGAATTCAGTTCCCATGCCTGTACAGTGAGGATTATAGTGCTTATCTAGTGTCACAGAATGAGTTAAAGTTTAGACTAATAAATTGCCGGAGTGGGAGCGAGGAGTGACCCAATCTGACTTCTTTATTCTACAAATAGAGGAACAGAGGTGAATTGAGTTTTCAGGGTCATCCAATCAGTGGCAAAGTCAAAACTAAAAGCTTAGATCTGCTAACAGGCTCTGACTGAAGAGCTGTTTCCATCACACAGTTAGACTGTGTGGGGCATGAAAGCATGGTGTAAACTGAAACATCGTATAAATGTGAGGTGGTTATTTTCCTTTGGTCTGCTCCTTTCTTATCTGTTGCAGTGGTTAGGTGGGTGGAAGTGGGCAGAAATGAAAGCTGTACCATTGACCAAGGAGTATAGTAACTGCATTTTCAAAGATCCTGACCATTAGAAAGTGCAAGCTCCAGGGCAGTAGTCACCATCTGCTTTTTATGAAGCTTCTAGCCCATCCCTGCTGCCTTCCTCCCTGAGCCTAACCTAATTAGCGTTGCTATGACCTGCCATGTAGAACACACAGCCACAATCAGTCCCGAACCAGTCATGCAAGACCTCAGATAATTGTACCTTTACTCAACAGAAGCAAAATGAGTACACTTGCGTGGACAGGTAACCAATTTTAACATAATAGTGGTAAAAAGGAAGGAAGGTAGGAAGGGAAGAAGGGAGACAAGGGAAGAAAGGAAAGAGGGAAAGGGAGCAGAGGGAGAGGGGGAAAGAAAAAAAGGAGGGAGAAAAAATGCCAAGGACCAGGCATGGTGGTACACACAATCCCCAGCTCTTTGAGGACTGAGGCAGGATGATTGTAGGTTTGAGACCAGGCTGGGCAACCTAGTGAGAACCCTGTCTGAAAATGAAAAATAAAAAGGGCTAAGGATGTACCTCAGTGGTACAGCACCTGTGAGTTCGATCCCAAGGAAGGAAGGAAGGAGGAGGAAAAAAGATAGAAAAGGAAAGGAGATAAGAAAACTGAAAAGAAATGCCAAGGAAAGAAAGGAGAGGAGTAAATACTGACTAAAATTAGATTTCTGGATTTTCATCCGATCTGCCTCTCTTCATTAACTATTTAGGTAGTAGGTGGATAGTACATCAGTGATTATTAATATTAATGATTGTCATTTGTAATACCTAATACTTATATATGCTTTACATTTTCCAAAGCACTTACCATCTATTTTCTCATAAGCACTTGAGGTGTGGACCATACCAAAATAATCTCTCTGTTTTATGCATGAAAAACTAAATTCAAGAGGTGTTCACTGCCTTGCTTGTGGCCATAGGCCCAGTAAGAGGTGAAGTTAGAGGTGGAACCTAAGATTTGAGACATCAATTCTAATTTTCTTCTTGTCTGGGGTCTTAGAACAAGTACAAATATATGAGGTTACAAGTAAATACATTTGTATATACTTTCTAAGGAAAGAAAATGGAAAACGGACTTACATTTCAGATACTTTTCAAAAAAGAGAATTTAGAGCAGAGCTGTTTTCTTCATGAGCAAAGCAATCCAGTTTTTGAAAATGTTCATTTCTGAGCGCTCTGGTTGGGCGTGGTTTTGACAGCACTGGGTCAAACTGAGGGTATAGACTGCCGGTCAGGAGCAGGGCCGGCGTCCTCACTGTGACCCGTGTCACTTGCAGCCTGCCACTGTCTCCACTGTGTGGCCTTGGGCAGTTGCGTCCCTCTCCCAGCCTCAGCACTTGGTATGTTGAGTCCGTTATCTCGTCCCTTAGCTGCATGGAGAGTGGTGTGTGAACTCCATTTTATAGGTAAGGAAATGGCCATTTGAATTGTTTTGAAGACAAAATGAGATAACTAAGTAGTGGTAGGTTTTAATGATTCAGGAGTTTTTGCATTACTTTAATTCTTTCTCTTCTCCGATTTATGGCTTGAAGTGTTCTTCATGTCAGTTTCTAAACTTTTTCTTGGGCACTTTTTGAAAGAGCTTCTAAGAACATACAGAACATACAGTGCAACTGAGATGATTGCACTGACACTGACTTTAGACACTGACTTTAGATTATTTTATTTACCCAGAAATTGTATACTCAGTGTGTTAAAAATCTAAACACGCCCACAGCTGAAATGAAGTTATTTTATGACTTAAATCAATCCACAGTGCTTTCTTGAAAGTTTAAGAAAAATGAGACAGTTAAAAAGAGAAGGCCTCAGTACTAGATCTACATAGTAGCAAACGCAGGCTGTAGTTTACGGCTGCTGAGTCTTTGCCGGCCCCATGACCCTTGGCCAGGAGGCTGGCTCAGCTGGCTGAGGCCATGCCGAATGCTTGCCGGCGCCCTGTGATGTGCTGCTCAGGTGATGGAGCCATGGAGCAGTCTTTTTATGTACCCTCCATCCTTCCTTTCCAGATCGCTTTTCTGGGCCTGACCTCCCATGAAAGAATAAGCCTGCTGAAGCAGAGCAGGCAGATGAAACAGACCCTGTCCCTCAGGAAGACACCGTACAAGTAAGTGAGACCTGTGCTGGCCACTTGAGACCAGAAGATCTCCAGCCGCTGCCTTCCTAACCTAGTGCCCCCACCCGGGCCCCTGCTACCATTCTCTGATTTGCTATCTGGTGGAGTTGAGCCCTTCTTTTTTGGAAGTCTCAGTGGCAGGGTTGGGGTGGTAAGATCACAGTCCCCAAGGTGGTGAGGAATTTAGTCTGCTGGACTCGGCACGAGGAGTAAGTGTCTTTGAAGCTTTGCCAAGACGGGAATCTCTCCAGCTCAAGCCACGTGGTCACAAGGTTGCGCATTGCTGGCTCCGAGTCGGTGCGAGGTAATTAAGCACGTGGCTGAGCAAGCCAGCCACAGAGCTGTCTGTCAGAAGTGTGTGTTTTGCCAGGATTTCCAGCCGGGCTTTCTTTCCATCACCAGTAATTCTTCCAGCCCTGTGTTCAGCATGCCCACCTGCAGCAGGAGGAAGGTAGTTTTTCAGGTTTGGAATACATTCCCCAGAGCACTGATTGTATAAACCTGTCTTCAGTTGAAATGAGAGTGTTTGTAGGAAGACTGTCATTTTGTGATATGGAAAAGATAAGGCTTTGAAGCTTATCTCCCTGCCACCTCCATCGGGGTCTCGGAGGCCAGGCGTGCTGTGGAGGTGACCCAGAAGCCCCGAGGGATTGAGTGCGTGCCACGTATCTCCTGAGCATTCTATTTTAAAGCGTTTCTTGGTACAAGATGAAACTGTGAGGCTGTTAGACAGGGAGACTGGGATGTGACTACAATGTGTATTTAGAGAGGAGAGAACTCGATTTAATAGGAAGAAATGGCTACAGCAATGGGAGTGTAGTGCAAAGCTTGCGGTGATTGTTTCGGACTGGCAGTGATGATAAAGTCCTTTTCTCAGTGCTTTAACCAGAGCAATAAATACATATTTATTCCACTAATGTGTGGAAGCTTTTTGATACGGGTGGAATTTTAAGCTGAGCCTGGAGATCTGGGGCAGGCCTGATGTACAGGGGAAGAAGGGCTTGCTAAGCCCTAAGAAGAATCCCAAAGGAAGAATGGTGAGAGCCAGTGCACATTTGCCGGCTCAAGAAATTAAAGATAAATCTTCCGAGTCACTTTGAATCTAGTTTCCAAAATCCTGTCCAAACCAAAGGTTTTACCTATTTGCCCTCCCTTATTAACTAGGTTTTGAGGCAGACCCTATAATTGCTAGCATGTCTCCCTACGGCCACTGCAGCATTTCTGTGCAGTCAGGCTGTCCCCAGGAGGCTGCTTTCTGAACAGCAGCCTGATTCTTTCCTGACAGCAGCATGGTCATCTGTAGGCGCAAATGTGGTATTATTTGTTTCGTGGTGCTGGGGAGCTAACCAGGGCCCTGGCTTGCTAGGCAAGTGCTCCACCACCGAGCTGCATGGCCAGCCCCACACGCTTGTTCTAATGTATTCAGGGGGTTGGGTTGCACTTAAAAGACTGGGTATATGCACAAGAATAATTGTTCCTATTGGAGTAAGATAGTAGTAAGCCTGGAATTTAATGGAGAAAAAGCGATGCTGAAGATGGTAGGCAGGAACCGCCTAGCGAAAATGTGGACCCTGACTGGGTCTTGAGAACTGGTAGGACTTAAAAGGATGAGAAGTCACTGAGGTAAGGGTGGGGAGGGACGGGTTCCAGCCCCCCACAGTTGCGATCACAGGGAAGGCAGAGCCAGCAGAAGAGTGGTGGGTTTATAAAAGTGACTTTGGGAGCAAAAACTTGATTTGTTGTCACGGACCTTGATCACAGAGATGAGGAGTCGGGCTTGGGGGCTCGGAGCAGAGGAGCGTCTTGAAAGGCTTATGGCTGGGAGGTGAAGGACGATGAATGCATCAGGGCTTTTGGAGGATGAGACAGGCTCTGATACAGAAGGTGAACCGGAGGGATTGAGATAGGTGCGTCATTTAGAGACTTATTCGGACAATAAGGGAAAAGACCATATTATAGTTATTCTGGTCTGTGGGGCCTTGGAGATACTCACAGTCTGAGTTAGGGCATGGGGATCAAAAGGAAGAAACTTAGTGACAGCATGACAGGTAGGGTAGGTGTGGGGCTCAAAAGGACGGGATAAGGAAAAGCCCAGTCAAGCTGCTGGCGCAAGTCAGGGAATCTCAGAGTCCCTCCCTCGGACCCAGGAGGAGAATTATGTTTGAGTTTTAAGGGTCCGTAAGTCCAGGAACAGTCTGAGTATCTCTGGATGGCTGCAGGGCCACCAGAGGACAATGTATCGCAGGTGCTCAGTGAATGATTATGGTTTGAATGGAGGTTTGTGAAGATCTACACAGGAAGTGAAGTAAGGCTTGTTCTGTTCTTTCCTTGACAGCCTTGGATTCACACAGAACCTGGCAGATTTCTTTCAGTGTGGCTGCTTTGGCTTGGTGAAGCCCTGCGCGGTAGATTGGACATCCCAGTACACCATGGTCTTTCATCCAGCCAAAGAGAAGGTTCTTCGCTCTGTATGAAGAAAAGCATCTCAAAACTGTCGTTGTGATTTGTTTTCGTTTATGATGGTGCCCTAAGGAAGCCCAGAAGAAAACACAGGTGGTTTTATAGCCATTTGGTAAAACAGTTCTCAGTAAAGGTATCACTCTTCAGGCTTAGAAAGATGAACTAGTCCTGAATACTCTTGGCAGACACCAAGAAAAAAAAAAAAAAAACTTTTATATTTTTCACAAGAAAATACAAATTAATTTTTTTGAAGATATATTCGTTGCTTATGGATAAAGTAGAATATTTTCAGATAGTACATTGGCTGTTTCAAAGTAGTACTATTCTTTGAACATGTAATTTTTGATAAGTTATTTGTCATTGTTGTATCTATAAATATGTAAAGAATATTTAAGTCGGTATCTCTGTTTTGCTTTCACACCTAATAAAATTTTCTTTTGTAATTGAGACTTAGTTTATGTTTATATGACATAAAGAAATTTGCAGTCTCAGGAATGAATTGAGCTTAGTGCTAACCCCCATAGGCACAGCTTTAATTTAATTTTCTATCTTATTTAGGCAGTCTTAAAGATTAATTCCTATTTTTACTTAGTGCCACCAAAATATTAGACTAGTGTGATTGTAATTACTAACTTCTGTTATCCTGGAGGAAACATTGATTCAACTTTAACTCTTGATATGTATCCTTGGGCATATCACCTTCCTGCTATAAATCCTACCTTGGGTTCCCCTTACCTTGGAAGTGAAAGCTGTGATTCGCATCATGACCTACCAGGCCCCAAATGAGACTACCTGCTTCATTTCACCAGTGTCACTCTCAATCACACTTTGTCCTCTAATCATATTGACCTTTCCGTTCCTCAAGGCCCCATTCCACTTCCTTCTGCAAAGTCATTGCAGGTGAGGAAACTAAACCCAAAGGGAGTTTGTATCTTCTCTGCAGTCACATGGATACTAAGTGGGGTTGCCACGAGAGAGTACCCATCACTTGGGCTGTTGCCTGATACATGCTCTTCATTTAAGAAGTATTTGAATTCATTTGTTGATCAGAATACAAAATAAAGGTTTTTTTTTTTTAAGTAAGGCATGATGTGATCAAAATTATATTTGAAGATTCTTATTCTTAGTTGGTTGACAAAGACTTCCTCTAGCTATATTCTCTCTCTCCCTCTCTTACTCAATAAGTATTCTCAAGGTGTTGTCCATAGACCATGTAGATCAGATTCACGGGAACTAGGTGGGAATCCAGGGTTCGCTTCTTTCAAATTCAAGCTTCCCATCGCAGATCTCCCAAGTCAGTCCAAACCTCTATATTCCAGTAGTTCTAACTGGTATGTAACATGGACTGTATATTTCATGAATTTTTATTCTGCAGACATTGAATACCATGCTTGATCTTACAGACCGTAAAACATTTCATTTGATATACTCATCATGAAGCTTACAGTCAAGAGAGGAAGCAAATATAAATGAGACTGTAAGGGCCGGGGATATAGCTCAGCAGCACAGCGCCTGCCTGGCAAACGTGAGGTCGTGAGTTCGATTCCCAGTACCAAAAAAAAAAACGACTATGATGTAAGACCTCTATAGTATAAGAACTGTATAGTACAGAATACGAAAAGCTGTTAAGAAGGGTACAAATAAAATACTGCGGGAATTTAGAGGTCAGTGGATATGATCAAGGAAACGTTTATGGGTGATAGGATTTATACTAAAGCAATGGGCAGTGGGATAGCTTGGAGCACGTGTGATGTTTCAGGTGTGTGATAATCAAGAGAGTTAATGTGATCATGAATATCCCCTCAGCGGCTCTAAATATCCACTAGGGGCTAAACACAATATAAGGCTACTTCTTCCTCATGCCACAATCCATCTAGCTATTAGCAGGTATCTTCATGCAGAGATCCAAGCTCTTTCCCAACTAGTAACTCCACAGTGTCCTACAGCCTTAACTCTACCGGACCCTCTGTATCCAGCAGGGCAAAGAATGGAGAGATTGTGGAAGAGGTCTTGGTGGCCTGAACTACATTGTCTACACCAGTGATGGTGAACCTTTTAGAGCTGTCAATGGTACACACAGCCTGCTGCAGCACGCAGGCCATAGGTTTGCCACCACTGGTCTAGACCCGGTCACATGTCCCAGTCCACATCAGAAGAGTCTGGGAAATGTAGCATAATAGTGTGCCTAGGATGCAAAGAGGAAACCACTTCACTGGACCACAAGGAGGTTATTTTGTTTTTATTTCACTTTCTTTATTGCCATTAAAATGCCTCCTTTTGTATTGTAGCCAAATTTGCATGTAATCTGGCTTACATTCTCTCCCACTTCACTCACTCAACAAATGCTTATCAAGTGCCTAGCATTTGTAGAGCACAGTGAATGCATGCATGTCGTATTCTGACGAGGTAAGTGGAAATTCCAAGTTCTACACAATGAGACAGGGCATTGTCAGTTATATATCAGTTACTGCAGTGCAGATGTAGACTCACTGTCAGATAGTTCAGATTTTATTTTTTGCAAAGGAGGTGATATTTGACCTATGACTTAATTGATAGTTTACCAGGAGAAGGAGTTGGGTTCTGGGGAACATAGTGGAGGTTTCATTTTCCAGGAATTCCAGGCAGAAGGAACAGTGTGAGCAGAGGTGTGACGGGGTGAGGGCAATAGGTGTTTTAAAAAAGCTTTAGGTCTTTTGAGTGTAATTTGAACTTGTGTGGAAGAGATTGTCTAAAGCTAAATTGAAAGAGTAAGGTAGAGGGCAATTTGTTACAGTCCTCACATGATAAACTGTTAGGGGCTCAATTGTGTCTCCCTACAATTCATATGTGAAGTCCAAAGCCCCCCTCAGACTGTGACTCTATAAAGGAGGTCTTACAGCTGGACCCTAACCCAGCGTGATTGGTGCCCTTATTAAAAGAGGATACACATACAAAGAATACCATGCAAAGATGCAGAAGACGGCCGTTCAAAGCTAAGGAGAGAGGGCTCTGAAGAAAATGACTGAGGCAGCCCCCGGTGGATGTAAGTCCCAGCAGACTAACACACACGCCAAAGAGTAGCAATGCAAGGGGTGTCCAGAGATATTTTGAGATTAGAATCAAGGAAGCTTGAAGAGTGAGGTGAGGAATGGGGAGCAGGAGGACAAAGCTAAGGCTGGCTGAAGTTTTTAGCTTCTGTCCCCTGAGACTAGTAACTGACACACAGCAGAAAGTCCACCCAGGACTTTGTCCAAGACAGCACATGCGCAGCACTGACTGATCACTCATTTTAAACACGGCTTTCCTTAGGACTTGGCACATAGAAAGCCCATGGTTTAGTCTAAGACTTCATCATTTTATCAGCAGATTTTTATTTGCTTTCATTTACTCCAAGTAAAATTGCACAGAGGTGGGAAAATTGGTGCTGTTATTAAAAGGACACATGCCGCTGAGAATTGGCTGAAGAGGCAGAGAAAGGTGCCTCTAATTGGCTGTATTTCATTTCTGAGCCTGGCAGTTTGATGGAGAAGTTTTTTTAAAAATTGCTAAACCTCAGGGAATTGCTCTGGAATAAAAGAAAATCATCCTCATGTCGTTTATAATGCAGAAGCAAATGCCGTGCTTTGTTGTCATTTCTGAGTTTTCATAAAATATGTAAGACTGCAAAGCTAGTGATAGAACAAAAGGAGAAACTCCAGCCGTTTTACTATTTTTGATTTTCCTTTTAGAATTTGCTATCTGATTCTCCTTTCCTCTCAGATTGCCTGTTTGCTTCTCCACTAGCAGTGCCTGCAAAGATCCTCAGCCAGCGGAATCCGGAAGACTCCTCTAAGCCCACAATTTCTCCCTTCTCCTTTCCCAGCCGACATCTACATTCACTGTCTATAGCTAATTTTTGAACTAGCTGTTTCTTGAAAGTTTTTCTCTTTCCAAAGAAAAAAAAGACCCAAAGACAGAAAGGTACCACTAAAACATTTATTTCTTGCCTCTCCCACCCCAAGAATTGTAAATAATAAAGCTTTTGTTGCAGATTAAGTTTTAAATAATTTTCTTCCAAAGTTTTTTTTTTTTTCTCACTTTGGAAGAGCCCACAATCAATGCTGAAGAGAATGCTGTCCAACTATGAACAAGGCTGTCGGGGAAAACTCCATCTGTGCAGGATCACTCCACGATGTCTTCCGCAGCGAAGGATGCGAGAAAGAACGTTCCTTTCACTCTTTCTTTTCCACTTGGTGTGTGAGGCCTCCAAACCCAATGCCTGTAGGGCCAAAATTTTTGGCGTAGCAAACTGAATGAGAGGGGGATAAATAAAGAAAGAATGTTGATTAGCACCACTGTTTCAGGTCCTTGTGCATAGGCACTGTCCATTGACATATTAAAGTGAACTTTTTTTATAAAGGCATGCATAAGTTAATTTTTAAATAAACTGTATTTCTCATAGATCTGCTAATAAAAAATGTTGATAATGTTTGGCACTTTTGCCTTGCTTGTGGACATTTTCTCGTTTGAGTTGGCACAGTCTGGCTCCGGGTTCCCTGCCCAGCCTCCTGACTCCTGCCCCACAGGCCAGGCACACAGAATAATGTGCCTGATGTCCACCCTTAAATGTCACTGCCGCCCATTTCTGGAATGCCTCTGCCCAAACCCACATCACCCTTCAAGCCCCAGTGGAAGGATGTCTTCTGAGAAGCCTCCATCAACCACAATGATTGCTTTCCTCTTTGCAGGCAACTGCGCTGTGAATGTTTCTCTACTGCAGCTTTCTTCGCTTGGAAATGTGATTTATTTATGTGTTGGTCTGACTACAGGATTCTGGAGTTTTATGGCCTGTGAATGGTGAGGGCCTTCTATGTCTTCAGCTACCAGGAGAGGGTAACCTGTCAAGTGCTGAGTTAAGGCCCATTCTGTCTCAGTATGGGTAAAGCTCTGGCAACCTGTAGTCGTAATTAACACTGCTCGGTTAACCCTTTTTCCATTGCCGCCCTCCCTGACTCCACCAAATAGAGATTCCTGAGGCATCATTAAGTGCTGATATTCAGCAGAGCAACGGAGTAGGCCTGGGGAGGCTTTGGGTGGAGACATATCGCTTTGGCCCCAGTGCACCCTTTCTTTTCACAGTATTAGGAGGGAGCTGAGCCGCTCTGTCTCTGCACATGACCCCGGGGGTTATGGAAGCAGCTAGTGGAGAGCTGCAAGGACCAGGAGAGCCAGTTCTGCCTCTGTGATCACTGAGTGACATGCACCATCAGAAGGGAGTGGGGACAGAGACGGGAAGAAAGATGGAGGGAGGGAGGGAGGGCAGTCCACAGGAGGAAAAGAAGAGAGAGAGAGATGTCTTGATAAACTCCAGTGAGGCCACACAGACTGCCTTCCCAGGCCTCCCACCTGCCTCCCAGGTGAACTCACCCCGGGGCAGAGGCAGGACACTTTCCTCCTCTCTTGCACCTGGCGCTCTGCCCTGCACCATTGAGCCTCTGCAAGCCTCTGGTCCCCCTGGGTGCTCCGGTGGTGAGGGGCAGAACTGGGCCACATGATCTGCATTTCTCTTAGATGGTTTTGCTCCACATCCTGAGAGCCCAAACTCTGCCTGGGCTGAGCAGCCCTGCTCCTGGTTGGCACAGGGCGGCCTCTAGGCATGGACACACTTTCCCTTCAAGGACACCCCCTGGGAAAACAAGTCTCCAAAAGTCTCCGGAGCCACTCACCTTTGCAGTAAAGTTCCCCATCTTTGTCAGTGACATTTGTGGACTCCAGGCTCTTCCCACAGATGGCGCAGCGGAAACAGGTCTTGTGCCAAGGCTGAGGGTGCAGAAGAGTTGCATATCAAAGAGGTGGTAGCACATTCTGGTTTCCTCTTGAGTTTCCTAGCCAGCAGCTACAGACATGCTTTCCCCTACTTAGTGGGACTCTAGAATAATCTTTCTAGGGGCTTGGAGAAGAGAAGCAATGGCCTTGGCCAGCAATTCTCAGAACCCTATGATGGATTTACCGTGGCAATCTGCAAGGAGTTCCTTCAAAGTAGAACATGGGGGAGGGCTTCCCTATGGTGAGAAGATCCAAGGAACACACTGGTCCCGATAGGCCTTGAGCTTGGGGCAGAAGGTAACGTTTGTGTTGAATATGAAGTTGAAGAATAGTGAGAAGCAGGCAGCCATGCATGTAATCAACCTTGTTTTCACTCTGCAGTTCCCGTGACAGAGTTGCTTGGATTATTTGGAACATCACCGCCGCCTGCACATTACACGTCAGCCAGGCTCCGGCTGGAGGCTCTCACAGGTCTGTGAAGGGCTGGTCTTTGTGTAGCGACAGGCTCTGTGCTTGACATCCATCCTGTCCACGCCCCTTCTACCCTCCATCTAGTGTTAGCAGGACTTTTCCCCTTCCTCAGGTCCAACTCCTTTGGTGAGTACCCTGACTTTGGCCCTGACACCAGAGCTTTTAGAATAGTGTGCTTGACTGTCTCAGACATTTGAGGACTTTCCTGAAATCCAGGACTTGCTGCTGTGTGAGCACAGGAGCGCATGGCGTTACGCAGTAGCAACAGGTTCCCAGGGATGACACCTTTGTGGAACGATTGTGTACTCTAGAGTAGGGGGATCTGTGCGCCTTTGTATCACTGGAGCTTTTTTAGCTCGCTTTCTTGGTCCTAGTACAGTGATGGCAAACCTTTTAGGGCTTTTGCCACAAACAGTGCCCTGGGGCACATGCACCATAGGTTCGCCACCACCGTCCTAGCAGGTTAACATTTGCTGCAGCAAAGCACATGTATGCTTATTTTTTAAGGGCACTGCCAGGTGACAGTCACAGCCCAGAAGGGTGAGTGAGGATGTATGGTTATCTACAAAGGGCAATCAAAACAAACAGTGAATGTTTTGATGAAAATGTATTACAGTAAAAGATACATTGGCACTAATCTCCCTCTCCTCAAACACACTTATCCCATGGTTCTTGACACTTTCTGAAGCAGTTCTGGAAGTCCTCTTTCATGAGTGTCTTTATAAGGTATGATTAAAGAAAATAAGGTGGATGTTATTGCTGAATACCACCCAACAGAAAGGCAGGGTAGTAAAAGTATTATAGTTATTCAAGGGATCGGGCACCATGCAACTTCTGGCTCTTCCTCAAAGTCAAAATGACTATGAATGTAAACATTTTGGTTTCCTTTTTAGTTTTTTTTTTTTTTTTTTTTTTTTTGAGGAGGGAAATGTTGAGACACAGTCTTATTGTATAGTTCAGGCTGGCCTCAAACTTGCCACAATCCTCCTCCCTCAGTCTCCCGAGTGCTGGGATTACAGGCATGCACCACCATGCCTTGCAAGCATTTTGAATTGATTTAGGACATCAGATCAATCACATCCCACAACTAAAGACACTCAGGAAAGAAGACTTCCAGAACTGCTTTAGAAAGCAGCAAAAGCCAGGTGTGGTAGCATGTGATTGTAATCCCAGTGTTCAGGAGGCTGAAGCAGGAGGATTATGGTGAGTTCAAAGCCAGCCTGGGCTACATAAGGAGTTCAAGGCCAGCCTGAACTACATAGAGAAACCCTGTCTCAAAAAAAAAAGTGACAAAAACAGTGGGAGAAGTGTGTCCAAAGCCAGGGGGAGGTATTTTGACAAAGATTAATGACAATATGTCTTTTACAATAATGCACTTTTTTAATGTAAACATTAACTGGTTTTTATCACACCTGCTAAAGAGGTGCTAGGAGCTAAGATGAAAGGTCTGGCCCCACCTCCCACAGTCCCAGTTCTCTCCTTCCTTCCCCTTCATCCAGTGTAGATGAGCAAATCCCACTTGGCTCATGCAGGAAGCCTTACCTTGCCGCCTCCCATGACCTTCTCAGCTGCATAGACTGACTTTCCACATCGCGGGCACTTCTCTGACTCACCGAACTTCGCAGTGAACTTGGAAGGGTTGCTGGCAGTGGCTGATCGTGCAGGCTTTGGGGACCTGATGGAAACAGAAAATGAAGTGCAGACCTTCCTTGGCACGCAGTATGAGCTTGTGAGCTACCTCACTTCTGGGTGCCTCTGTCTCCTTATCTGGAAAATGGATGATCGCAGGGCCTTTCTTATAGTGCTGATGAGAGGGTTGAGGAGAGGACCTATGTGAAAGTGCTGAGAACAGTGCCTGCCTGGCGTGGTACAGCTGTTAGCTGCTGCAGTGGAAATAAACGGGCTCTGTGTCGTAAAGCATGTGGCCGGGGTTCCATGCATGCTTGCCCGTAGTCTTGTCATTGTTCTGGTGTTATTACTGCCATGATTGCTTGTCTGGATTTTTCTGTACTATCTCAAAGCTCAGCAGTTTGTTGTCCAAACTGAGTTGTGCAAGTCTAGGGCAAGGTGGGAGGTTGATTGCTGTGCAGATCAGATCCTGACAAGTAACAGTCCAACAGGCTGATGCTTTCCTTGTCACAATCGAAGCTGTCCTGCACCCAAAGGTCACATGTCCCCATGAGCACAGTGTCCCAAAGAGAGGTACAATAGCTCTCTGTGGCTTATGTCTATTGGTGTTCTCATGTGAGTTCTATCACGTGCACCTTGCTGCAGCCCCATGGAGTTTGCAGGATGGAGGAGCAACTGCCCAAGTGGCTCAGAACCGATAGAACTGAGACAAAACCCCAGTCTTGGATTCTTGTCATTCTTTGGACACCATCAAAGAAGTGAGCTTTAGATAATGGAAAGTGAGCTTTGTATAACACAGGATAGAGAATGCAACCGATATATCTTTTCTTTGTGAAAAGTCTCAATCCAGGCCTGGTGGTGCATGCTTATAATCCTATTTCTCTGGGAGGCTGAGGCAGGAGGACCATAAGTTTAAGCCCATCATAGGCAGTTTTGCAAGACCCTGTCTCAAAATAAAACTAATTTTTTCTAAAAAAGTGAGCTGGGGATGTAGCTTAATGTGAAGGCCCTGGGTTCAATCCAATCCCTAGTACCAAGGGGGAAAAAGTCTCCAGCTGGGATGGAGTAATGAAAGAAATTAACAAAGAGAAGTTCTCTCTTTAGGACGATAATCACACATCCCTCCACTTTTCCAGGCCCTCTGGTGGGTTACTCCCTTCTGAAGGAACCAGATGGCTCCTTAGATGTCCTAACTGCTCAGTGGGGGAGCTTCATGGGACACTCCCGCGATTGGGCAAGGCTTTTCTGGCCAGCCCCACTGCAAGGCTGAGCCCGGATACCCGCTGACCAGGCAGCAGCTGCAGGCCAGTGGCCATCATACAAGATCCTCAGTCCTGGGCTAGAGGTTAATGTGATCGTCCAGAAAGTGGGCCGAGCAGGCTGATAGAGGGAGGTGGCCGTTGTGATGTCCCACTTTTCAGGATGGTGTTGGGGGAAATCTAGCACTGTATCAGCAACAGGCAACTAGGGAGACTCACAGAACAATCGTAATTGGTTATTTACTCCTGAGACTCAGCCCACTCCCACTGACCTCTCCCCTGCGGTGTAGACATTAGTCATCTTCCAACGAAGGGAAGAAATCTTTTAATAACAAGCGCGTAGAGAATGGCCATCCCCTCCCAGCCATATTTATGTGATTTACACAGAAACCCGCAAAGGAGAGGAAGAAAGACTCCATGTAGTTTTGCAAAGGTCAAACAATAGAACATCTGTACATTCCGGGTTTTCTCTTGACATGCAAAGCCAGAGCCATGGTGTAAAAGTAATTGCCCTTTAGAAAGGCAGATAATTTAGAGACCGCCTCTGGAGAGATGACACATTGTTAGAATTCGGTCAGAGTGAGTATTCCCATTGTCGTCAAGTCAACAATGGAGTCCATTCTCCCACTTCCAGAAAATGTTGCTATGGGAACAGAATGCACTGTCCTGGTAATTGGCGACTGTAACAGGGAGGGGGAGTGTGGCAGTAACTCACTGTTGGAACTGCAGGCCGAGGTGCTCCCCCGTGTCCGTGCTGAGGCAGCCAGCGCCTTGCCCATACCCGATCCCCTTGGGGCCGTACCTGCGCCCATAGCAGACCTTACAGTAGATCTCTGACTCATGAGCCGCTACTGTGGTGCTGTCGAGAGCCTTCCTGCAGGCCACTGCAGAAAAGAGGAAGGTCAGGGCTGGGGTTGAGATCCTTCTGCCCTATCCTGCATCCCCAACACCCTTGCTCGGGCTCCTGGGCCCAGAACTCAACTTTGATTCCTGTCTAGAACATCTGTCTGAGTTGTAGACCTGAAGAGGGTCCCGTTGTCACAGATGAGGAAATTGACACACAGACAATGGAAGTGATGTGTGCCATGTACCCAGCAAGCAGAGGACACAGGCCCACCCCGGAGCCAGGCATGTGGTCTGAGACCTGCTAAGAACAATGTTCCTGGACAACAGGTCACACCAGATGACATCAGGACATGTGTGCGCGCACATGTTGTGGGGAGTGTGCGGCTGAGACACAAAAAGTAAGCTCCTTTCACAGACAACTAGGGCAGGGAGAGCAGCTTATCTTTTCCCCAAGCATACTGAAATTAGGACTGAGCACTCTCTGTGCTTCTCATGGCCCTCAAAGGGCTCTGTAAGGAGACAGTCAATGTGGAGACCAATCTGGGTGGTCCAGTTCTGGGAGCAAGGGAGGGGCGGAAGGGACAAACCTGGCTCACACACCCCTCAGCCTTCCACAAGCTCACGCCTTGTGGGGGCTCTGTATGACCTCATGTGTAGCATCCCCAAAGATAAAACAGCCCGTATCCCACTTTTCCAAAGAGAAGATTTGTAAGAAAATACTTGTTTTCTTGCGAACTTGAAGAAAAAGAGTTTGAAAGATGTGAAAAAGTCAAATATCTTCTTCAAATATTTAACCCTATACATCAATAATATATTGACTTGGATATGTTGCTTTTTCTCATCTCATAAAAATTCAGAGAACCTTTGTATCTCATTCTCTTTGTGCATCTTCCACACCTCCAGTCACTTTGGGGGCCACCAGCCCGGCTTGCTAAGCAGCTCAACTACCCTTGTGTCTGGGTCCTTGGAGAGCAGCCCTGTTTCCTGCTGGGTTAGGAGGCTGATACCTGCAAATTGTATCTCAACAAGCATTTGTCACGCTATTAGCATAACATAAGGCAGCTGTACAATATATAAAGACTTTCCACAACTTAACAACTTGCCACATTGCTTTGCAATAATCCTTCAAGACTTTTTATAGGGATGGTGCTTGTGACACTGAGGTTATAGCCCCGGAATAATAAAACTTACATTAAATCAATTGTCCTCTTTATTTTTTAAAACTAGTTCCATGCAATCCAATGTGGAATGAGGTTGTATCAGGCCACTAGACCTTTCTCAAGTGGTATTTTATTGTTAAAAATTGAAGTAATTGAATAAAGGAGAGGAGGAAGAAGCTCAGTGTTGTGGGGTACGATTGGCTAGGGTTGGATGGTTGTGGAGCCAGGGAGACCAGAATATGGGAGAGTTCATTCAATTATTTTGTCAACAGCATATGGGTCAAAGTTTAAATGGATATGGCTTTAAACACAAGGTAATCTTTTTATGAAGAATAAAATGGGGAGATACCTTACATAGGGGTATAGAAGGTGAGTACCTGTCTCTGTTGTTGCTTTCAGCACCCTCCATAACCACTGCTCACTTATTTGCCACTGGTAGATGTTGGATTCCAGGAAGACAAGGGTGTTTTACTTTACTATCCCCACAGCATGGCAGAGGCCTTAACCAGAGTTAGTCCTTGGTAAACATGTATTGAATGAATGAACTGATGAGCGAGTACACATGTCAGTGGAAATTAGTGGATTGTCCATGATTATATAACAGTGAATTACAGAAGCATAAAAGACCTCAGATTCTTTGACTCCTACTATTAGGGCTTGTGTCTAGTTGTCCCTCCAAAGCCTTATGTGCTTGTTGGTGGGGCTTTTCAGAGGTGGCTGGAGCTAGAGTGTGTGGTGCTGGGGTATGTGATTACTAAATCAGTGCACTGATTGGTTTGGTATAATTCTGGCTAGGATGAAGGGTTTGAGTGCTATGCCCACCCTGGGAAGGGAGCCTGCTAAAATATAAGGGACAGAAAAAGAGCTAATGTGCTCTCAGCTGGGTGCTTGCTGTGGACTATTTCTCCTCTGCCATACCACCCTCCTAGTCTTGGAGCTAGCTGACTATGGACTGAATCCCCTCAAACCGTGAACCAAATAAACCTTTCCTCCTTTCACTTTGGGTGTCAGAGAGTTTGTCTCAGCAATGAGAAAAGTAACCAGTACACCTACTCTGGTGCTCATCTCAGTGCTCCTAGGCAGCCTATACCCTATGTGCCCTAGCCAGTTCTCTGCCCTTTCCCTGACTTCCAACCAATGTGGACACACAAACAAAGGAGAGCTGTGCTGTCCCATACCACAGCGATTAGACACATGCTGTACTGGAAGCATGAAATGCATTTTTATATCAAATTCTTGGTACAAACACAAAGGGAGATAAAATATCTCATCAATATTTAATATGTGATTACACATTGAAATTATAATATTTTAGATGATTGGATTAAATGAAATATTTCAAAATTAATTCTTCTTTAGTTTTTTCTAGGTACACTTTTAAAACTGTGCTTACTAGACATTTAAATTTAAGTGTATAGCTTGCATTCTATTTCTTTTGGACAGCACTGATACAGTGGATTAGTAGGTTGATAAATTATGGCTATTTATCTAGAGATCAAGAGAACACTTTTCAGGGGACAAGCTAAAGTAGATCTGGCCTCTCTGAACAATATTTGTGGCAACCAAAGGTCATCTTGTGAAAATAATATAGAAGAATGTGCTCCTCCCTGGGGCCTTCTGTCCAGCCCTCCTGAAACTTACTTGGATGCCCACCCTACAACTTCTACAAGGAATGTACCAAGTGCTCAAACCCCTTCTACCGTGGCTCCAGTGAATAGGGTATCTTCTTGGTACCTGGCAAAAATAAGACACCACCTACCATGGAAGCTTCCTGTTCCAATACAGACCTCAACATTGATCAAAGGAGAGGAGCCCAGAAGGCTGGATTTCCAGGCCAAGGACCTCTGGTCAAGTCTCCTCTTTGTAACACACTGTGTGGTAAGAGATAACCATCTCCATTTTATAGATGAGGTTCACAATGGTGATATGATTTTCCCAAGGCTACAGCTACAACATAACAGGGCTCAGACTCAAATATCAGTATTTCTTTTTACTCCAATTCCAGTGTTCTTTCCAATATTCCTCATTCTGACTCATTTAAAGACTATTAACCTTTTTTTTATATACAAAAAGCAGGGGGTTCTGGAATGAACTGTCTTGATAATGAATGAATTCTGGATAATTGTGATAGTAATGAATAATAATGATGAATGCGAGGACTGTGTAAGATAACTCAAAAATAATTATCCATTATGAAAACCCAGTGCATCATGAAGTCTGCCAACCCAGTCACTCTGAGCAGGGTTTCCCCTTTTTCTCTAGTGATCATTGTGTTTGCTGCAGGGATAAGGATCATGCAGCTGATAAAGCATCAGTATTTCTGGCAGTCTAAGGATAGAGTGTCTCCCTCTCCTGATGGATGGAACCCAGCCCTTGAAGTTCTGTTTGAAACTGTTTGCTTCTACATGGGCACCTGCAGCCCCTGGGCTGAGGCATGGGAGTGTAGGGTAGTGAGGTAAGGACCTGGATAGGGGGGAGCCTGTCAAATATCCAGCAAAAGTCAGTCTTCAGCCAGAGCCACAGGAGGAAGCAGAGAGAGCAAGTGGCCATTTCAAAGCCATGGGGCCAGTTTTACCCGGAACAGGAGCAGCTACTAGGAAACTTCAGTGTGCAATCTCGTCTAACAGTAGTGGCCTGGGAGTCTGCAGGTATACTCTCCTGGCTCTGCCTCAGAGTCATGTGACCTCAGTTTGGAGGTGAGAAATGATTTGCCAAAAGTCACGTGATCAGACTGGCTCAAAGTTCCCCCAGCTTTGACATTTGTACATCTGTGTCCGGCAGCCAATGATGAAGATTGCCTTCAAGGAGTTCCCGGTACGCAGGCCACGAACTTTCAGAAATGGCACAGAAATGTTACCCACTGCCTGACACAGGTTCTGTCTTAGGAAAGACAAGTCACAGCTGGCTTCAGTGACAACTGGCCCATGGACAACCCAGAAAGCCAAATCCACTTTGGTTCCAGATAATCGCTGGCCTCCTTTCTCTGCCAAGTCACACTTGGTGAATGTCACCCTTGGGTCAGGGTTTTCACATGGAGAGCAGAGGGAAGCCAGCTTGTCTTGACTTTGACGCAGGGAGATGGCCTGTGAGCGGTGTGCATGGTGGAGAAAGCACTCAGGAGATCCTGTTCCTTCTCTACGGGGGCCCACAGTTGACAGTTCTCACAAGTTCCCAGGCCTGGCTCAGGCCGACTGACCACACTGTGAGAGCAGATATGGAGCATCAGTGGTTAAAGGAGTACTTGAGATGCTCTCCTAACCATGTATGGTGGTGCATGCCTATAATCCCAGCACTCTGGGAGGCTGAGTTGGGAGGATAGCCAAGTTTGAGCCCAGCCTGGGCAACTTAGCACACTTAGTGCATTAAACTCTGCCTCATGAAAAAGGGTGGGAGGTGAAGATGCAAGTCCCACCTCTGCTGCAGACCCCCCACAGTGTCCACCGAACTCACTGCAGTGAAAGCAGGTCTTGTGGAAGCTCCTGCCGTTGCACTGGATTTCTTCTGCATGGTAGACCGTCTTTTCGCAGGCTCCACATTTTGCTCCTCCGCCCCAGTTTGGCATCTTGAAGACTCTCTGACTACAGTCAAATCTAAGAAGACAGAAAGCCAATACCTTCAATTTAGGTGATATCAGGAGCGAGCCCTCGTATGCAGTGATCTGAGGACTAGAGTCCTGCTTCCTTTGTTCAGTGGTTCATTCATTCATTCATTCATTCATTCATTCATTCAGCAAATAGCTGTTCTGTGCACATAGTTCAGACACACAGATGTATTGGGATGGCCCCTTTATCACTTTGAGACTCAGTTTTCTTTCCCATTAAATTCCAATATCATCTGACCCTGCGTATCTCACAGGGGTCTTAGAAGGAATGGATGGCTAATTTTGTGTATCTAAAATTACATACAACTATTGCAATCATTTTCCCACCTATGGTTTAAAAAATTGTCCCATCAGAAGTGGGAGTCACAAAGGATATTATTTGTCTAGCCCAGTGCCTCTTGAATCACCTTGGGACTGGCTAAAACACAGATTCTAGCAGATCTGGGGACAGGCAGTATGGATGCTGCTAACCCTTTGGGTAGTAAGTTCTTAGTTTATCACATACAATATTAAAAAATCTCTTATTCAGAATTATTCCTCACCTCTGCACACCTGCTTTTCTAGAGTGTCATTGCTCAGGCAATAAAATAGATCGGCTCTGCACTAGGTCCACCATCTGGAAATATGCTGTGGACTGGCAGGGCTGCCCTCTACTTGCTGTGCTTGTGAAAGAGCTGCATGGCTTCTCCTTACCTCTTCCCACCTACGTGATGAGAGCCATGCTTTTCCCTGTGGCCTCACAACATCGTTTGGAAAGGAAGTGACTCTATGCATGGGAAGGGATTGGACACAGTCCGCAGCACTGGACGGGAGCCAGCTGACGGTACCACCTATGCGTCCCCCAGCCTCTTGCAACACACTGTACTGCAAGAACTGCCTGGGGCCACAGCCCCAAGTGCTCCTTCTCTTATGTTTAAGTGATACTGTAAGCCAAAGAAGAGGACTTTTTTGGGGGAGGAGGGGGAAGTACCAGAAATAGAACTTAGGACCTTGAGCTTGCCAGGCAGGCACTGTGCCACTGAGCTATATCCCTGGCCTCAAAGAAGAGGACTTTTTTTTTAAAAGAAAAGGAAAAAAAAAAAAACTAACAAAACAACAATGAAGACAAAAACAAAACAAAAAATGATATCTGACCTCAAAGCAAAATGATAGGAATTAACAATGGTTGCTACATTACATACTGTTATCTTCAACGAGGTTACTCAGTCTACCAGAAGAATGCAAGATTGATCAAATAATCAAAGATAGTAACAAGTAATAAAGGAAGAGGACTTTTAAAAATAATTTTTTGCCTGTAATTCCTGCAGGGAAGCTGAAGCAAGAGGTTTGTGAGTTCAAGCTCAGCCTATACGATTTAGTGATTTAGCAAGACCCTGTCTCAAAATAAAAATTAAACAAAAGTACAAAAGGGCTGGCATTATAGTTCAATACAAAGACTTTGGGTTCTATTCCAACAACAACAAAATACTTTTTCCGTTAAGTATGATTTCAAGTTATCCTTTTTCCCAGAACAGAACTGAAATATGCTGACGATATTCAAAGAAATTTCTAAAGTGCTATAGCCATCGGGTAGCTGAGTTTTCACCGGGATCCTTTGGTTTCTGAGAAGCCTGGTGTGTCATGTTGTTATCGGCCACTCGAGTGGCTGCTTCTGACCTTGTCTTTCCCTTCTGGGAAGCCAGTCACCTTCTTATAATAGTTGGCGATTAACACTAAGCCTGGTCAACTGCTCCGGCTTGGGTCTCCCGGTCTCATAACAAAGATGGTTTTTGCTAAGAAACGGAGCGTAAATAACAAACAGACCACTGAGCTTGACACTGGGCCCGTGGGGAATGTTCCCATCTGAGCGTCGCCCAAGGCGCTCTTCCTGCTTAGGAAAGCTGGCGGGGTTGGACAGGCATCGCCCTTCTTGTGGAAGAAGCAGATGCTTCTATTTAGGAAAATTTCAGAAAATAACTTCAGAAGGGGAAACATTTAGTGTTCCTATTCCTATAGCTCACATAGGCTAGTATGATGGATAAGAAATAGATTTTGCCCTGAAAGGCTTTGGAGTCCAGCCTGCTTTCCTTCTTTCCTCTTTGTTCTCTCCTCCATTTGCCATGTGTTTACTTCCTGAATATCCTGTGTCAGGCACAGCACTAGGTATGCAGGGGAGTGCTGAGGAGGTGGTGCTTCTAAAAATGAGTAGTTTTTGTCCCCTGGCATTGAGAAGCCACATGCTAGTGAGGAAGACAGGTAGGAAGCAAAATACTTTGGGCCAAAGAAGTCTTGTGTGAAGCACTATGGAAACTCGAACGATGGCATGGCAATGAGTGTGTGGAGGGTCACAGAAGAGATCACCTTCAAATGGGGTTTTGAAGAATGAACAGGAGTTCAGCAGAGAAAGAACATAGGGGAAGGATATTTCATGCTGGGGGGAAGATAAACAGAAAGGCATGGAAACGTAATATCTTTTAAAGGAGACTAAAGAGTTTGTTTTGGCTCCATTTAAGCGGTAAAATACTTTCAGGTTTGGAATACAACTTCAAGATTGTCTGACCCCTCATTTATAACTCAGCTATGGCATAAAAAGTAAACATTTTCTTAGCTGATTTTATTTTTCCCAGACCCATCCTTCTCTTGAGAGGGGTAATACATTTTTTAAAAAAAGAGTAGGACAATGTAACTTTGTTCATGTTCATTTTGAGCCTTGGTTTCAATAGAATAGAAAATAGAAAAGAAATGTGATATATTTCATCTAGGAATATGACAGTGACACCTGTGAAATTAATGATGTGGAAATGTTCAATGAAAACGACCCTGGGTCAAATTTTTCATTTCACATCTTCAGTGGAAATTTCATTGGCATCTCCTGCAAGGTAATGGGAGATGGATATACATCCCAGATTATATATATATATATCCATTCCCCAAGAGGCAGATCTTGCATATATACAACAACTGCCTAGACATACTTTTCAAAATGAGGATAAGATTACAGATAATACCTTCTTCACAAGCTGATGTATCCTAGCAGAGCCTGCTTTAAGTGATCATAAATATCTGACATGCATACATCAGGATTTGAAAACCAAAATAGAAATCATAAGTATTAACAGGCACTCAATTCCATTTCCAGAGATGGAAATATAGCAATTAAACCTAAATGCAAAAAAAAAAAAACCCTCTAGTATCTCTTTTAGTATTCATAGGCCCAAAGTCTGAAGGTTTTTTAAAGCATCCTGACTCCAAACACATAGATTCTAGCCATGACCTAATGACTTTGAAGTTGAGTGAAAAATGTTGATGGTGTTGTCTCTCGCATAGGACCCTTGGGAAGGTCATGAAAATACAATGGAATGTAAAGCAATTGAGAAGCTGCTCAAAAGCAAGGCATTGTCACCTACTTTATTTCAGGTTATTCAAACAGCATCAGTGTGCTAATCAAGTCACTGTGATTTAAAGCACATCTTGGTCCTGGCTTATGAATGTAACCTTTTCAGCCTCCACGTTGCTCTGGAATTCCGATGCTTCAACACTCTCAGCCAGGCTCAGATGCGAGTTTGCCCTGGCACGGCAGCAAGAGATGGGCCATTTGTTTATCAGCGTTGCCTGGAACTGGCACAGGTCGCTGAAGGTAGGGTACCAAATATAGGCTCGCCCGTCACTCAGCCCCATTTATCGCCCGGGTCACAGTCTCCATCACACTGCCTGGTGCTGTGCTCCGGGCCAGCCCCTGAGATGGCTGTGCTGTCACAGCCACGCTGCGGGTCGGGTCTGAAATGGGAGAGACTGCGAATTGGTGAGCAGCGGCTAGAATGCAGCGCCCGCCGTGCCAGCTTGGGACAGGCAGGACTCCAGTGAGGGAGCCGGGCCCCAGGCCCCAGGGACAGGCTCCCGCACGCACGCTCGGCTCATAAGGCTTCCGGGAGGTTGTGCTGGGGCTGTGCTGCAGCGGGTGCTTGCAGTCAGATGCAGGCTGGACTTCTAGCTCCCTTGTTTTGTTTTTTTTTTTTTTTTTTTTTTTATTTTAAGGATAAAAGGAGATCAAGCTTGCCAGGCAGGTGCTGTGCGGCTGAGCTGCATCCCCAGCCCTCAGCTCCTTCTTACCTCTTTAAAACTGTATGATCGTAGAGCTGTGAAGCTCTCTGAACTTTAGTATCCTCTCATTTTTCCCTCCCTTCCTCCCGCCCTTTCTTCCTTCTTTCTTTCCTTCCTTCTTTTCTTCCTTCCTTCCTTCCTTCCTTCCTTCCTTCCTTCCTTCCTTCCTTTCTTCCTTCCTTCCTTCCTTCCTTCTCTTCCTCTCTTTCCTTCTCCTCCCTCTGTCTTTCCAGCCTCTTATTCCCCTCATTCATCCCCCAATTGTGGAGACAGATGATGCCTTAGGACAACAGTAAGTACTATTCAGTTTCTTCTTTGCAGGGATCCCCTAAAGAATGGAGGACTGAACAGAGGACTGGGGCTACAGCTCAGTGGTGGAATGCTTGCCCCCCATATGTAAGACCCTGGGTTCAATTTCCAGTACTGGAAGAAAAACAAAAAAGAGGCCATGCTGGGCAGTTCTACACACCTATAATTTTAACTACTTGGGAGGCTGAGGCAGGAGGATCATGAGTTTGAGGCCAGCCTGTGCAACTTAGAGACCTAGTCTCAAAATAAAAAATAAAAAGAGGGCTAGGGATGTAGCTCATTGGTAGTGGATCCCTGTGCTCAACCCCCAGTACACCACGCGCGCACACACACACACACACACACTCACAAAGAATCTGGGAGGAAACCTTAGACCATGACTTCGAGCAGAGACCTCAAGTGACAATGCCAGTGTTTAGCTCCTTGCTGGTTCACTGCACTGTCCCTCCGAGATGCTTGATATCACACGATGAGTTAAAACTTCTACGCTGGCAGGGACAAACATCTTAGATACAGGGACACACATCTGATAGAGAGGTGATGCTCATGGGCCCGGATCATGCAATCCGGCTGTCACTGAAGTGAACACATCTGGAACACGGCCCTGGTCAGGCACCAGATACGTCATGGAAACCTCACAACAGTCCTTCGGGTTAGGTTCCACAGGAACACGGACTTCGCAGACGGGGAGGAGAGAGTCTCGGCAAAACCAGGCCACTCACCCGAGGTCACTGGGCTGGAACGTGTCCCCTGGTTAGATTGGAACTCCGATTCCTGACTCATTTAATAGTAGCTATTGCCTTTTACTATTCATCAGAAGCTTTACATTCATCACCTTTAGTATTGACAATAGCCCCAAACTGCAAATTTTGTTATCCCCATTTTGCAAATGAGAAAACTGAACAGGGCTTAGGTAGCACATGTACGGTCACACAGCCAGTACAAGGGGCCGAGCTGCAGTTCACACCCAGCTAAGCTGGCTCTGTGGCTATGCTTTTTGGACCCTTCCTACAACGCACTGGGGAGGGGACCAGCACCAACACTTCCGTCAGCCAGACCTCCCCTGGGATGGGAACTGAGATCTGACGGATCCGATCCGCTGTCTCCAACATCCGGAGAGAGGAACAGGAATTTGGTTCAGTTAAATAAAGGACCTTCTAAGAGTCAGCACTGTTCTAACATGGAAAAGGCCCTTTCAGAGCTCAAGAGTTCTCTGTCACTATTGATTTGAGCTCTGGTGGCAACGAGTGTCCAAGTGGCAGTGATGCTGTGAAGCCCCTTCAAGGGTCCTCGAAGCCCTGAGACAGACTTGAGGGTCTGAGCAGTGGTTGAAGCCTCCCCCTGCACAGAAGCTGCCCTGTGGTGTCCGCTCTGAGGCTGCCTCTTCCCCTGGGTCAGGTAAGGCTGACGGCACGGTGTAGTAAGAGAGAATGGGCTTTGGAAAGAACCAAGCCAGAGCATGGGTCACCAACCCTTGGACTGGGACAGACAGCTCTCATCCTCGAGCCCAGTCCTCAGGCTTGGGAAGTCAGAATGAGGAGGCTTTTTTGAGAAGGTCGTTTTTAGGCTGAATAAAATAACAATAGCTAAGATACTACTTATTAATGCTATACATAATTCACTGCAGGTACTTAATAATTGTAGTTGCTTTCATCATTACTGTTCATAGTGGTATTATTTCATCTTTAGTTTTCAAATCCTGTCTCTTCAACAACAAACCCCACCCCCTGCTTCTTTTCTATGGCCCATCTGGCTCAGGCTGTCAACCAGCTGTTTCTCAGCCTTCAACGTGGGCCATGCAGGGGTAGCCAGGCCAGGAGAGAGGCGGCTCCCTCCGGGACAGTGAGGCTACCTGGCATCCTTGACTTCCATGCTAGAGAGACACTGAGCCTCTCCCCACGCACAACCCGTGCCTCTCTTGGGTGGCTCTGGTGGCTGGTGCTGTGGGCTTTGCAGGGAAGCGTGGCGCCTGCCCCAGGTAGTGGCCTTGTGGGACACTCAAGGGCAATGGCTTCCTTGTAAGCCACTGAGCCCAGATGTGCCCACAAAGTCCCTAGTCCCTGGCACTTTCTCAGGGCCTGGGAAGCACAGGTTTCTTACTCCCAGCAAGGAAACAAACCTGAGCGCTGGCTCACCCATGTCAAACTGGGGCATGGCAGACACAGCTTTAGACTAAGGCTGTGACACGCGCTCCTATTATAACTTCAGAAATTCTTGCTGAAAAACCCACTCTTTGTTCTTTCCTCATTGTGGATCATGTTGTACCTTAGTCTAAACCCTGGCTCTGTTGCTTGCTACCCTTGTGACTGTGCAGTGACTACACTCTCTCGAATATTCGTTTCTTCCTGAAGAATTACTTTTTCAGGATTATTTGGGGCCGGTAAGTAAGCTCTCGCTTGTTCTGAGACTGCCTTGGGCAGTTAGTCACCTGTCAGATCAGTGCCAGTGCCTGCTCAGGAGGAGGTCCTGGTGAGGCTCAGAAGGAAATCTTCTGTCCTTTATGGCCCTCGACACAATCACTCTTCCCTTCTCTGCTTTCCTTCCTGGGATGAAGACTCGCAGTTTTCCACATTGGCAGCCTTAGCATTCCTCCTCGGCCCTGAAGGGCAACCTTCATACAGTGTCCTCAGACATCTGAGCCGCACGCTTGTAATTGGAAGGCTGCCTGCTTGGAGCTGCATTTCCTGGGTATTATGTTCCTAGGCCTGTGTCCTTCCTCTTGTAAACCGAATTAATCATCTTCTAATTCCTGCTCTCCTTGCTGCCCACTCTGACCTCTGGGCTTTATCGTCACCCTTGTTCTTTAAAGGAAATCCTCTACAACCCATCAGATATGGCCCTGTGCTCTTTCTAAAAGACCTTGAGGATTTGTACAGTTTTATTAAGCTTCCCAAAGTACTTTCCTATACTTTATCTCATTTAGTTCTCACAAATCCCTTCGAGACAAGTGGCTTACTTTAATTTTACTGTTCACAAGCTGGGAACGGAGACGCTAAGTGATATTCGAAGCTGGATTCAAATGGGATGCTCTTTATTTTCTTCTCCAGGTTTCCACGATTTCTGAATTTGTATTCCATCCAGCAAGACTCCGCTGATCTCTAAGAGGGTTAGCTTATTTGTCTATTGAATGCGGGTGCCCGAACCCGCCTCCTTCCCCCACTGCCTCTCTCACCCTGCCCAGCCTCCTCCATCCCAACGGATGGTCTGTGTGTCCAGGTGGCAGAGCACCTGTCTGTCCAGGCGTGAGGGTAGGTGCCAAGCCCTGGGTCAGCCACACTTCCTGCCTGAGAGCCAGGGCTCATTTCCACTGACCACAAGTGACTGCGTTGTTCAGAAGGGAACCAAACCAAATCAGGAAAATCCCCCACATTTTCAGGGGGATTTCACACACACTGGGACGAATTGAATGTGACCACCATGGAGACTTAATCAAAAAGAGAACTGAGGACACATGCTGTCGCCCCTTCCCCACTTCTCTTCCTGTTCATGTCTCTGGTGCTGATGGTGCTGCCTCTTCCGCCCCACTCTGAAGTCGTATGGGATGGCACTGCAGTCGGACAAGCTTCCTGTGATGGTCTCCCCACTCTCCCTTCCTGGAGAAGCCGCTGCTTTGCTCGGGGAGGGGCAGAAATTTGAAGCGGCAGCTTTGATCTTTTGGCAGCACTGCCAGCCAGGCCATTACTTCAAAGCACTTCTCAGTCTCAATCACACTTACGCCTGTCATTCACTGAGTATTAAAAAGAAATCCTTGATTGGAACCTGTGGGAAACACCAGGAATCATGCCTGGCCCCCAGCTGGGCACTATGCTCCCATTACACAAGAGCTTTGAGTGAATTTTCAGCTTAGCAATGTCTTTTGGGGGACTACTTTTGATTAATTTTAAGTGATTAAAAGCATGCTTGTTGCTGAACATCTTTGGGATATAAAATCTATTTTGAACCAACAAACCAAAATCTCAGTCATTCACCCACTCCTTTGGAATAGCACAGTTCCTTATAGTTTGAGGGAAAGCTATCTTCTGTAATGGCGTGGCTGTTACAACCCTCTCCAACTAAGTAGCATTTTAAAGTTTAGAGAAATCCATTCTATCGTTTGTTCATATCTACCCTGGAGGAAGAGGAGATCACGACCCCAAGGACAGGAACTTTCCGACAATCCCTCACCCGCTCACCATCTTAGTTGGGATGCTTCTTGGACTAAAATGCAAGCGTCTTGACTTTTGGTGCTGTGAACTCTTTCGTTATTTTCTTCTGCTATCCTGCCATCCCAACTAAGATGATAGGAAACATTCTGCCATAAAATGATTCTGCTTTTATTTTTATTTTTATTTTTTGGTACCAGGAATCGAACTCACAATCGCACGCTTGCTAGGCAGGCGCTGTGCCATTTAAGCTATATATCCCTGGCCATAAAAGTGGTTTTAGACCAAAAGTAACTCCTTACTCATTTCTCTGTCTGTGAGGTTCCCCAGAACTACCACACACATACCATTGTGTGTATGTATGTATGTATATATGTGTTTATATATGTATGCGTGTATATGCATGTATGCATATGTGTATGTATGTGTGTATGTATGTGTATATGTGTATATGTATGTATTTGTGTTGCGGAATCAAACCGAAGGCCTCATGCATGCTAGGCAAGTGCTCTGCCACTGAGTTACATATATCCCCATCCCCTAAACCCCAAAATATTAACCAGGCCTTTAAAATCTTTCGAGAATCACTAGATCCACACCAAGATCAAGTATAACTTGAGAGTTCTCGCACAAAATCACACTGGATGCTGGTACTTGGGACGTAAAACACACTGTCACTTGGTAGGGTCCTTATGGTCCCAGCCAGCCACTCAGACAGCCCACCCCAGGCCCCCAGGCCAGCTTTACTCCACTTACCGATTCGCGTGCTCTCTGTCTGCTCACTGAGTAAGGGGGGCTCTTGCCCTCTTTAAATATGCGGAGGCTGTTTCCAGCCTTGGCCTGAGAGAGCAGGGCAGGAGGGAGGCCGAGGGGAGAGGTGAATAAGACACGAGTAACACAAGTGCTATCAGAGGCTAAGAATAGATTGTGAGCAAAGCCCTGAGTTTTGTTCCCCCCACACCAGCTGGTGGCTTTTAGAGAACAATATCTCTGGGCTTCTATTTTAATTGCGAGTTTCCTATGGCACCAAAGGATCCATTTGTGGAGTATATAACTTCTGATCAAGTGCTTGGAGTGGGAACAACAGCAAAGAAGTTTATATCTAAAAATCATCTCTCTGGGCCCCCACTCCACAGGCTGTCCTGGAAATCGACACAAGTTACCTGCAAATGAATCATGAGCCGTTTTTGGGAGCCTTCTGGAATTCTGAGACACAAGCCACTACACTCGTGAGGAGACTCAGAGCTAAAAATAAGAGTGATGGGGGTCTGAAGTGATATGTAACTAATCTGGTTAAGCTTTTGGGGGTGGGAGAAGGTCAGCTAACCATAGACTGTTGCGCTATCCTACGAAGAATAAATCCTCTCTCAACTTCTTTGTTCATCACTTTTCTTCTGTTTAAGAATTTGACCTAACAATACATTATTTTTATCACCTTAACATCATATTTATGACAAGTTTTGAAAAGTCTCTGTAGCTCACGTCTTCTTTGGAGGTCTAATTTCTCTTTACCTGGAATGCACATGGTTTGGCATTTATCAAGCATCATGGATCTACATGAATTGTAGAATTTAATAGCTGACCCTAAATTTGGAGATTTAAAGGCCAATTCTTCATGCAGTGTGTGGGAAAGCTGAGGCATCCAACACAGACAACAGCGGGGTCCAGACTGGAATTCATGTCATCTGTTCCCCAGGTTCACACACTTTCATGTTGACCTGGAGGTTGAGGTTAGGTGTCCTCAGCCCACAGTGAGGAGGTTTACGAAGTGAGGCCCTTTGAATCTGTCCTATTAGCTCTTCAGGTACATGCCCACAAAGAACTTGATTAAAGGATGAATTATTTCACTGTCAAGAGAGTTGTGATAACTGCGATGTGGTGACACATGCCTGCAATCCCAGCACTCGGGAGCCTGAGGCAGGATCGCCATGAGTTCGAGGCCAACCTGGGCTACATAGTGAGTTCAAGGCCAGGCTGACCTACATAGTGAGGTCCTGTCTCAAAACAAAAAAAAAATAAAATAAAATAAAAGCAAGAAGAGAGAGTTGTGATAATTTCACAAAGGTGGCTGGGGCACCACTTTCCAGGACATGCCCTTAGTCTGTATTTTCATGGAATAGCATGCTTACCTTAGAGCGGAGACAGTGATGAATATGTTGGAATATTAAGGCTAGACAGGACCTCTGAAGTCCTCCAGGACAGTGACTTTCAAGATTGGGTGCATGTGTACTAGTGTCAATAATTTATTCCACAGATGATCTTAAATGGGCTGTCAAGGCACAAAGCTGTATAGTTAGAAATGAGAGATTTTCACTACCTCCACCTTGCCGTCTTCCTACCTCCAACACTGCCCTCACACCCCACCCACAACAAGATGTGCAGACCATCGGGGATTTCAGTTTCAGATCATCATTAGCTCTATTCATAGTGCATTCAAATTTATTTAAATTTAATTATAAATTACACCACTTTCTTCATTTGGCTACTGCTCTTCGCAGACTTTCTGTATCTTAAGTGTGTCATTTTTGTGTGTAAGAGAATGAAAATGCATTCTGGATGAACTGATTAAGAAAGACTAAATCTCAATAAATGTACTAAGTTCTCATACGTTTGAGGAGGTATTGGCTTGCTAGTACAAATATCACAGACTAGCTGACTTACATAACAAAAACTTATTTTCTCACAGTTCTGGAGGCTGGAAGTCCAAGGTCAAGAGGTCACAGGAGGAGGTGTTTTCTAGGGCCTTTTTCCTTGGGCCTCCCATGTCTTCATGTGATCTTCCCTCTGTGCCTCTGTCTGCACCCTACTCACCTCTTGCCATAAGCATCAGTCATATTGATTAGGACCCACCCATGTGACCTCATTTTACCTCAGTTACCTCTCTGAAGATGCTGTGTCCAAGCACAGTATCACACTCAAACGTATTGGTGGTTAGGACTTAAACAGGTGAATTTTGGAAGGACCCAATTCAATCTTAATTTTATCTTCCACTTGAATGCTAGTATGGTTTAGTCTAGGAATCTAGTTTCAAAATGTTTTTTAGTCAGAATCAAGAAGAAAAAATTTTTTACTATATTCTAGCTGTGCTGAGATAAGGGTTTTGATGCCAGTCTTTTTTTTTTTTTTTTTTTTTCCTGGTACCCGGATTGAACTCACGACCTTGTGCTTGCCAAGCAGGCACTGTGCTGCTGAGTTAATCCCCAGTCCCTTGATGCCAGTCTTATTCATGGTCCTTTATTAACGTAGTTCCTTTCCCTTGGAAAATTCTAGGATCTTCTCTTAACTTTCATGAAAATTTCCTCAGGGTCTTTTAAAATTTATTTTGCTTGAGAGAGGGTCACTTTGACCTGAAACTTTGTGTTTTTTCAGCTCTGGAAAGTTAAACATTTTTTTCACTAATTTCTCCTTCTGTTTAGCTTCTATAATTATAACTTCTTTGTCCTTCTATGTTTATTTAAGAATTCCTTAGTTTGATCTCATATAGAACTAATTTGAATGTTAGCCAAATGCATTCTGCTACTCGTCTACTTATTTTCTAATAATTTCGTTCATAATTGCTTTATGACATATCATCCTGAATCTCTCCGAGGATATTAAGTATACTGATTCAGGGGAAGTCTTATTTTGCTTGCTTGGATATTAGTTTTGTTTCCTTGGGTATCAGTTTTTTTGTTCTTGTTGAGTTTAGCATTTCTCCTTCAAGGTGCTATTTCTTTCACATGTATTTGGGATTTTTGGTTAGATGTTTATCATTTTATTTGAGAATTCCTGTTTAGCTCTTGGAGAATATCACTGTATTAAAGGACTTATCCCACAGTGGTCGCGGGAAGGGGTGCACCGTGGTGTCTGGTGGTGTGCTCTGCTGGTTTGTCACCAGGGCTGGATGGGATGGGACTTCTCACTCCCTCCGGAGGTCACCGGCTCTCTGGGGAGTTTCCGGGGCTTTCCCACACCTTAGCCTGGAGGCACACTGGAAAGTGAGGGAGCTGCCGGCCCAGAATCCATTTCTTAATCATCATCCTTGTGATCCTCAGAGCCCCATCTGTGTTCGTCCACTGATTCCAAGTTTGCAGTGTTCTCCCTCCGCGCAGCGCTCAGCTGCACATGTTCCCCCTTCCTTTTTCTGCAGATCCACACCTTTCTGCTTTCTGGAAGCCCTTGAAGTTTCTCAGCTTTTTCATGGGCAGCCTTGTTTGTTGTTCCTTGGTATCATTTCTGATTTATATTCTATTAATCCTTGTACTAGAATCCCGTGGTCCACTGACAGTCTCCAGGTTGTACCTTCTAACACAGTAGGCAATAACAGCACAGGGCTACTTAAGTTGAAATTATCTAGGATGAAATAAAATTTAAAAATTTGGTCTCTCAGTCCCAGTAGCCACATGTCAAGTGCTCAGTGGCCACCTGTGACCAGTACCTACATAGTGGACAACACAGACACAGAAGGGTCTGTCACTGCTGAAAGCTCCGTTGAATAGCACTGTTCCAGAGCTTCTTACCGGATAAATAAACCGCCAAATCCCTTTCAGGATGCCGTGAGAAAGAGATAACATTAAGCATTTGTTGAACATATAGCGGGGTTCTCACGTGATGCCAGCTGAACGTTCATTCAGCGGTTAGTGAATGGTAATGGTAAGACTTGAACTCACAGACTCTGCCTCACTCTTCACACAAAATAACTATAAATTAGAAAACCATTAAGAAGAATAGGCCACGGAACAGGCCAGGTACGAAGTGGGACAATGAGGCTGTCGGAAATCACACGCCTTAAAACATCACCTTTACACCCGAAGTCAGAAAGAAAAGGGAACTAAATTGTGAACATTGTTTTTTTAAACCTCTTAATAACTGTAAGGAGGTATTATCATCCCCCCAGTGTATGAGTGAGAAATGAAATAAATGCAAACTCAAGAAAATGAAGTAAGCCGCTCAGTGGACACATAGGTGAAGCCATAATGTTTTGACGGCAATGTTAGGACTGGACTCCACAGCTACTGCTCTTTCATTCCCTAGAAAAACTAAAACATGGCAGGTCACTGGGAAGCACACATCACAAAGGTGACAGGGAAATTCAAACACAGGTTTAACTCCAAACCACTTCTACAGCCGTGGTCCCCTTGGTTTGAGCTTGATCCCCTCAGTAAACATTTTGAGCAATACTCTCGTGGGTATGCACAAACACACAATGTTTACCTGCGCACATACAATTTTCTTATAAATTATAAATATATTTCCAAAGTAATATTTATGTCATATTCAGAACTAGGCACTGAAATGATAAAACAAACATAATTATAATTACAATTCTTTTTCTCATACCCTGTTATTTCTCATCTTCTTCAAGGTGCTGCCTGCTCCTGTTCCTCCTTTGGAAACCACTGCTCTAAACACAGCGCACAAAGGAGGGAATATTTTATAGAACTTGCGGGCCCGGGAATCTTAGCTTCCATCTGCTCATCCAAACCAGTCTGAAAAGAAACATAATTGGGCCATAATGAATTCAATGTCAGCCACATTCTTGAGTAACTAGAGCTTTTCACTGCCTCTATGCACCAGTGGGCTGACATTTGTCATTGGCTCTTCTTTCAAAGAGAATTAACTCTAACCTACCATTCAAAGGTTGCCCCGACCATGTGCCCGCCTCAGAGAAAGGCACAGAAATGGACAAAGCAACACATAAGTGCTTCGAGACGGCTCTTTTTTCTTAAGAAAATATAGTCATTATTGAAATAAAGTGAGACAATGAAAAAACAACTCATTTATTCATATCATCTAGAGTTTTAAAGTCAGTCTTATTTTTATTGCTGTGATAACTGCGTTCCTTATAATGTTTTTCAGCTGAACAGCGCTATCCCATGTTTGATTCTTT